CCCTCTAATCTCCTCTCCTGTCCACCTGCCCCCACTGAGCACTTGGCTCCAAGACTGGCTGCCTTACCATGGCAAAGAACTTCTACAAAATTCCAGGCCGAAGGTGGTGGAGGCTTGCAGCCAGTGGTGGAAAAGCAATAGGTCAGAAGTGGGTGTTTGTATACATCAGGGAGACAGAGCCACTGTAGGACCTGCCAGAGCAGCGCTGGGAGTGAACTCCGAGGGTCAAGGATGATGGCAGAATGCTGGTCTGAGAGCTGAGAACGTTCAGAGGAGGTTGGTGCCCCAGTCAGTTTCCACCACTGGGCAGAGAGTGCTCCAGCTGTGTGGATACAAAGGTTAGGGTGAAGACTTGTTCCCCAAGTACCAGAGGACTGAAAGGCACAAGGAGAAGCAGGAGGCAGAACCTGAGACAAGAGGCTGAGAGCATGGAGGGAGGAGGCAGGACCCCAGGTCACCCTGAAAAAGCAGCAGGGATCTCTTACTGCAGACTGTGACCTGTGCCCTGTGGGTGGGGCTTCCTGGTGGGCGTGTCCTCCAGGGTGGGTGGAAATCTGAGGGCTACAGTCAACATCCAGCACCTAGGATTTGGGAGCTTAGTTGCCAACTCTACACCAGTATGCCCCATGGAGGCCAGGAAGTCTAGAAGATCAACCGTGTGAATTTTGAAGTCAACAAGGACTGTGACAGGAGCCGCTGGAGAAAGTGATAGGGAATCAGGAGTGAACCTTCAGAAAGTATAGGGAGGACCCCTGGGTTGCAGTGGACTTCACAAGGTGTGGTCTGTTAATAAGATGAGATTCAAAGCTGGGACTTTTTTTGGTGAAGAAGAAACTAGTCCGGATGTGACCAGCAGAAGGAGAGCGAAGCGTACCTCTCCAGAGTGGTGGTCCAAGGAGACGGAAGAGAGAAGCACCCACGGAAGCCCACAGGGAGGTGGCATCACAGGCAGACAGGGTGGGAAGCTCTGTCACCAAACAGAACTGGGGGGACATGGCTTCCCCAGTGTGGAGAGGTGTCAACATTCAATAATGGAGAAAGATGTTGAAAATGCCCAGACCTCGGGGGAGGTGCTGTCATGCATCAGGTGTTGGGGGGATGCTCCAACTGCCCAGCATCAAGGGCCAAGGGAAGGTGTCTTGGTCCCCTGGCCTGTTAAAGTGAAAGATGCCCCCTCAGGGTTAGGATTAGGGTCCTAGTCATCTGCTTCCTTCTCCTCTATACTGAATCCTGGGTTCCTCCAGCCCTAGCCTCTGCCACTTTATCATCCCAGCACCCAACTCCCATGCTCCAGGAGAGACCCTGCAATGACTCTAGCCTGGTCACATGGCAGATCTGGTCCTGGCTGCCTGAGTCCACAGGCTGCTGCCCCTTGGCAGGAGAGGAGGGAACAGGAGGATGGGGTTGCCGGTCATGGTCTATGGTGTCTCTGATATCCTGGGACCCATGTGCCTGTGGAATGCTGAGGAGCAGGGTGTGGGTGGAGGTGCCACCCCTATGTCAGAGGTTGGGAGGGGCTTATGCACAGACAGCACTGGCAGGCCCCCGAGGGACACTGTCTGAATATTGTGGAATGCTGTCATGGGAACCAGATGTGAGAAAGACCATCCCCCGTGTTCACCTTGGGGTGAACCCCCAACCCCCCCAAGGCTGCAGCCCAGTGTCTGGACTGAAAAATACACTTATCTTCCCACACAGACTCCCCCACTACCTTTCCTGCCCGGTGGCCAACAGTGGTCCCTAGAGATATCCCTGGGACCATCAGCCTACTGGGATTTGGCCAACTCAAGTCTGGATCTAGGAGGACAGATAGTTGGCCTTGGATAGCTGCAAAAGTCACCTCATCAGATGGACAGCCAGTGCTGGAAGCTCCTGCACCTCTGTGAATGCCAGAGAAAGGAAGGAACAAGGATTGGGGTGGGGGGCTGGGAAGGGGGGTGGGTCCAGGTCTTGGGCCATTTTAGCTATTCCAGTTACTATTGTTTCGTAACAAATGACCCCAAAGGGTCACAGTAGCACTAGTCATGTGAATCAAGAATGGAACAGAGCACACAGGGGCAGCTGGGAAAGTGTGAGAGGGGGCTCTGAAGCGGCAGGTTGGGATCACCTGTCTGGCAGCTGAGATTTCTAGGCTCCTGGCTCAATACTTATACAAGGCCTCTCCATGGGGCCCTTCCAAGAGGCCAGTTTGAGCTTCCTCACAGAGGAGTCAGTGGTTTCCAGGAGTGAGTTTCCCAGGACAGCAAGGTGAACGTTTCTAAAGTCAAACCTCAGAATTCATAGCTCACCACTGCCCCTGTCTTTGCTGGTTAATGTCATCACAAAATCTCTCCAAAGACACACAGGTAGAGTATTTGAGGTGGATGTATTGTAGCCATCTTTGGAAAACACAGTGTTCCACATCAGTATTTCTCAACAGTTTCCCAACTGCAGCCCAGGACTCTCCCTCCCTACTCAGAGCAAGGGAGCCCCTACAGCCCCCAGGAGTCCCAGGTCCTACCAGAGATCAAATCCAGATGTAAAAAGCAGAGAGGGGACAGCCAGAGGTACTAGGGCCCAGAGAGAGAGTGGGGGTGCAGCCCAGTGGGAAGGACACAGGGATGTAGATGACACCCCTGGGAACTCACTCTGCTCTGGGCAACAGAAGGCTGCTTGTTGGGGCTGGAGGGGCCAAGAAACAGGCTTCTGAAGACCCCAGGTAGGGAGGGGGTGTCTCAGAGGGTAGAGGGTACAGTGGGGCATGTGGCAGAGGTGAATCCAGGTGACTCCATCCTGCTTGCATGTGCTGGGTGCTTTCAAAATCAGATCTCATTTATCTTCTCAGTGAAAGTGTGAAAGTGTTAGTTGCTCAGTCACGATCGACTCTTTGTGACCCCACGGATGATAGCCCAGGGCTAAACGAAAAGGTAGCCCATTTTACAGGTGAGGAAACAGGTACAGGAGGGTCCTTCCTTCAGTTGCTCAGTTGGGTCCGACTCTTTGCAACCCTTTTGGCTGTGGCCTACCAGGCTGTCCATAACATTTCCCAGGCAAGAATACTACTGCAGTGGGTGGCCATTTCCTCCTCCAGGGGGTGGGGGTGGGGGTCTTCCCCCACCCAGTGATCAAACCTGCATCACAGGCATCTGCCCTGAGCCCCAGACTGGACCCCTGGGAAAGAGTATTGAGGTGGGGGCCAGCCAGGTTCGCCACCCACTAGGTAGAATGTAGTGTGGGAGGTGGCCCTTCCGAGCTAACAATTGGCCTACTCTGCTTCTCAGAAAAGCCAAGCATGACTCTCCTAGACCACTCTGAGGCCCTGAAGCCCCTAAAGCCCTGCTCCTGCCTGTCCCTGCCCCTCCTCCCTTGGCCCTGCGGTTCCTTTCCATTCTGGGAATGCCACTTCCTCCTCTGGACTTGCAGCAGCTGCTAACTAAGTTGCTTCAGTCGTGTCCAACTCTGTGCGACCCCATAGACGGCAGCCCACCAGGCTCTCCCGTCCCTGCGATTCTCCAGGCAAGAACACTGGAGTAGGTTGCCATTTCCTTCTCAATGCATGAAAGTGAAAAGTGAAAGTGAAGTCGCTCAGTCTTGTCTGACTCTCCACGACCCCATGGACTGCAGCCTACCAGGCTGTTCCATCCATGGGATTTTCCAGGCAAGAGTACTGGAGTGGGTTGCCATTGCCTTCTCCAGCAGAGCTCACTGCAAAAATACTATCCAGACCGCTTAGTGGAAAGAAGGCTTTCCGCTCCCCCAACAAACTACACATTTCTTTCTGTCTATGGAAACCATGTCAATATTTATTTTGCTCATTTGCCTTTTCCTCCCGCATCAATTCAGAGTCCAGGAGACACTTACCCAGCCCCAAGGGCAGTCGGGCCCACAGTGGGCCTCCAGAGAGGTCTGTGGGACACAGACAAGACTGCCCAGGCCACCATGGGCTGGCATCCCCAGAACTCAAAAGATGATTGTGCCCCACAAGGGAATTCAAAGTGAAAACAACATCAAACACGAAAATAAGCTTAGCCCTCTTTCCTCCCCGTGCTTCTTTGAAATAACAAACAGAAATGTAACAATTATCCTTCAATTTTCATGAGTTCTACTTTCTTGGCTGCTGCTTGGTTCATCAATGTTGGGTAAACCAGAAGAGAGTGACATCACCAGTGACCATACATCATTACATCTGGCCTGTGTCATCATCTACCTTAACCCTGAGACATCACCTATGATTGCCTGCAGACATCACCAGCCTGACCAGTAACATCCTTACATTCCGTACCATGACATCATCCTGCCTATGATGACGTCACTATCTGCTCTGAAGCATCTTTCATTGGCCCTGTGATGCCACCCTGCCTCCCTTCACGACCTTGGCCAGCCAGCCTCTCTCCCGTCCAGAGGCTGGTGTTCCACGTCCACTGTGTCCCCGGCATCGTGCAGATGCTGCTGGCGGTGAGGGTCAGATTCGCAGGCCGCGCGGAGGTCCAAGGCCCCGGCGGGATTCGCGGAAGGCGGAGGCTCGCCGGTTCTTCGTGAGCGCATGAGTGCCCCTCGCGAATTTTCCTTTCAGACGTCCCGCGGTCCCCGCTCGGCCTGAAGGTGAGCCTAGCGCCTCTGACCTCCCGGAGAGGCCCCCTCCCAGCGCACCGCTCGAACGGGGGACCGGGCGGGGCGCGGCGATTTTCCCGCCTGGCCTGCGTGGTCTGAGGTAGGCGCGGGAGGGGTGCCCCGGTCGCCTTTGTCGCCAGCGGGGTCTGTGGGCCTGGAGCTGACTCGTGACTGACAGCCGGCGGGGGCTGCGGCCGGGGGCGGGCTGCCCGGCGCCGGCGGCTCATTGGCTGGCGCGAGTGTGGGAAAGAACGCGGAGAGGGATTCCCACGCCCCGCAGCCGCGCTGCTTTAAATAGCCGGGCTGCTGCAGACACGCGCTTGGTAGCTGAGCCTGGGACCCGCGGGAGAGGGGCCTGGGAAACCGCGCGCCCAGCCTGCCCTCGGCTGGGACCGGCGTGGGGGCGCACCATGCCTGCGGACACCCCGGGGAAGCCGAGGGCCTCGCCGCGGGCGGGAGCGTCGGCTGGCGCCAGCCGGACCCCAAACCAACCCCGGAGCGTGGCCGAGCACCGGAAGGTGGGGACCTGGCCGGGCGCGGGTTGGCAGGAGCGCGGGGGGCGGGGGGGGGCCACGAAGGGGAGAGGGGAGCTGACGCCCGCAGGACTCAGCGGCTGTCGGCTCCGCAGTCCTCCAAGCCCGTCATGGAGAAGCGGCGCCGAGCGCGCATCAACGAGAGTCTGGCTCAGCTGCAGAGCCTCCTCCTGGACGCCCTCAGGAAAGAGGTGAGTTGGGGGTGGGGGCGAGATCGGGGAGCCTGGAATCCCGGCCTTCCTGGGCGGCCCGCCGCCCTCACCGGCCCCGCCCGCAGAGCTCCCGCCGCTCGAAGCTGGAGAAGGCGGACATCCTGGAGCTGACCGTGAGGCACCTGCAGAGCCTGCGGCGCGTGCAGGTGACAGGTGAGCCGAGGGCGGCGGCGAGGGCTCAGGGGCCGGGGCTGCGGCCGCAGGCACCGACCGCCTGTCCCTGCCACCCCCGCAGCCGCCCTCCGCTCGGACCCCGCCATCCTGGGCAAGTATCGCGCCGGCTTCCATGAGTGTCTGGCCGAAGTGAATCGCTTCCTGGCTGGCTGCGAGGGCGTCCCTGCGGACGTGCGGTCTCGTCTGCTCGGCCATCTGGCGGCCTGCCTGGCCCGGCTGGGGCCTGCGCGCCGCCCGCTTCCACTGGCTCCAGCCACCGAAGCCCTGGAGCCGGAGATCTACGCGGGCCGCCCGCCGCCGCCAGCCTTTGACGGCCTTTGCCCCTTGCCGCGCCCCGGGGCGGCCTTGGCACCCATCTTCCTGCCGGGGTTGGCCCTCGCCGCCCCCGGGGCCGGGGCTCAGGGCCAGGGCGCGCCCTGGAGGCCGTGGCTGCGGTGAGGCCGCGGCCCTAGAATCGACTGAGACTGTGCCAGAAAATGGTTATTTCCAGAGACCGGGTAGGGAGTTTTGTTTTGTCGTCTTGGTGAAGGGTCCAGTTCGTCCGAGGCCCAGCGGCTGATGTCTTCTCATGAACCGGCGGGGTGGGCAGGGCCGGGCCGTGTGGGTAGATTCAGCTCCCACCTGGGCCAGGGTTGCACTGCGCGGGGGTTCGTCCGCCCTTGATTTTGGCTGTGTCCCTATGTGCTGAAGCCGCTACCTGCCTCGAGCGGGGAGGGTGTGTGTGAGATGGCCCTGGGGGGCTCAGGCAGGACTGAACAGTCACCACTTTCCTAGAGCGTCTCCCAGTGCTGAGAAGAGGTCGTGCATCATCCTGGGGCCCAGTTCTCTCTCCACAACCCCTCCTGAGGCCCCTGGAAGGCGGAGATGTGTGCACACTGTTGTCTCTGGGGCTGAGCTGGGCTGAAGCTTGGGTTCTGGACTGGTGCACTGCCTCCCTTCTCCTGGGGGAGCACAAAACTATTCTTGCACACCTGTGGGTCAAGCCTGCCCCAGCCAGTGTCTGCCTAGCAGATGGGGGCCAGCAGGAGAGGGCGTCTGAGTCCTAGAGGCAGGGCCCCCGACCGGCCTGACAAAGGGCAGTTTGTATTGGGGCTCATCTCCCACCAGAGTCCAGTCCTGCCCTGAGAGGGGAGTCCCCTGACAGTAGGAAGGAATTGGGGGTTCATTGGCAGGCCTATGCACCTGTCTTGAGCACTGGCTGTATGCTGACCCTATAATACAGTGATCCTAGCCAGCGAGGGGCATTGGCCGGGGAGCCACTGTCTTGTGGTCCCAGGTCTCCTCAGGCTGCTGCTGGGGGCTGTGCTCCGGGGGCAGTGAGGAGGTGGTTGAGTCATGTGGCTGATACTGCAGTGTCTCATCCTGAGCCCTCTGAGGTCAAGGCAAGATGGATTTCCCATCCACAGGCAATTTCATCAGATGGTTGCCAGCCACCTGCCTGACCAGGGAGCATCAGGGAGGAGGAGGGAGAGTCACTGCTAGAGGCTTATCTCCTCTTCCAGTGGCTCCAACAGTTCCTGTTCCATGTCATGGTCGCGAGCAAGGTTCATCTACCCTCCGGGACTCAGCCGTGCACACCAAGCAGGGCCCTCCAAGTCCCACCAAGCCAGTCCCCTCCTGCCCTCTGGCTGCCTGGCCCATCTCCCTGGGTGTCCAGGGTCTGGGCCGGGCCAGTGATTTGGGTCAGTGGCAGCCATGTGGGCCAGGAGCCGCACCCTGGGACTGGCACACACACACTGGTCCAGGCTCTGGGGAGGCTCAGAGAGCTGGGTCACCAGCAGGACTATGGGGGAGTTACTGCTGACCTGGGAGGCCTTCCCAGCAGAAGAGTTGCAAGAGGGTCCATTTCAGGAGCCAGAAGTTCAGCTTGTTTGGGGAAGGGGAGCTGTTTGGGGTGGAGGCTCAGTGCAGGAGGGGAAGGCAAGGGACGTTGGGATGTGAAGCCAGGTGGTTGGGTGGGTAGAGGGGTGGACAGGCAGGGCCTCCTCAGAGTTGGTTCCACATGGCCTGAAGGAATAAAAGGGAGCTCCCCACCTGGTTGCCACAGGGAGGAGGGCTGCCCAGGAAGGTAACCTGGAGCTCGGGTCATCACTCCTCAGGGAGGGGGCAATCACAGTGTCAAATCAGATCCCCCTGTTCCTGAGCTGTGCTCCCCTTTACTTGTTTATTTCCTATTTCTGGTCATCTGTCCTCAAGACGCTGTCGCCAAAGAGATGTTTGTGCTGAGGCCCCTGTCAGCCCTCCAGGGACCTCTCCGGCTCTGAGGGAACCACACTGTTTCTCAGACAGGCAAGTTCCTCGTGTGTCTGTCCCTTCCCTGTCCCCCTCTGTCCCTTCCCTACTCAGCCCCCTACCGGCCCCCCGAGGTCCTCGCCCCACTTTCCCACCTGAGGCGGCCACCCCAGGCGCCGAGGGCTCTGGAGGCCAGGGCCCTGTTTGTGTCACTCATTCCTATCCCCAGCACCTGCTTGGAACAGAAAGACACTCAGGCCACACAGACCTCATTAATTAGCTCGGGTGAAAGGAGTGCCATCCTGGATTACATTAGGGGAGTCTGAGGAAGCACAGCTGAAGCTGGGCCCCCTCCCCAGGCTGCCCCTGGGCAGCTGAGGGCAGTATCCTGGCGTCTTCTGGGGGCAGAGCCATGGCCCTTTGCACACTCAGCCTGGACCCCTGCCTGGTCTTTGGAGAGCTGGGGTGGACTCTTCTTCCTCCCAGCCTCCCCACTCTTCCACCCATTGCCTGTCCCTCCCCTGCCTCAGAGGGGCTCTGGGGAATTCCTCTGCACCTCCCCCCTCCCCAGCTATTTGTGTCTTGGCTTTTGTCTTGCAGACTTTCTTGATGAATAGTAGAGGAAGCACCTTCTCTGGGCGAGCTGCGGAGGGGGTGGGGAAGGAACCAGAACTTCCTCCTTCTGGGGGGAGGGTGTGGCCCCTTTCCCCCTCCTCTGGCAGGTGGAGCTGCGTTCCTCTGTGGCCTCCGTCCAGCCCAGTTCCTGGCGGAGACCAAGGGTCAGTGAATGTTTGCTGAATTCCTGTGTGCAGTCAGGTGCTCTGCCTGCCTCTGTGGGTGTCTAAGCCCTGTGGAACCCTGTGACTCTGGGTCCCTCTTTTTTGCCTGTGAGGTCAAGGCTTGGGGACCAGACGATAACAGCAAATCATAGGTGTTTGAAATCTGGAGAAAGAGTTGGTCCTAATGGTGACAGCAGTCGGCCTTACCAGGCCCATAAAACTCCAGGCACTTGGGAATTTGAAGTGGGGTAGGACCTGGGGCTCCTGGGAGCCTTGACTTTAGAAAGGTGAGGCCTCAGCTTCCCCACCAGAGCCCTGTGATCTCCTGTCTCCAGGCCCCAACAGCCTCCTCTAGGCTCCAGGACCTGCTCCCCTTTCCCCGGAGAAGGAAGCTGAGCCCAGAGGATTCTGGAGCTATGCCTGGCTGCTCTCTACCTCTTGAAGCTCTAGGGGCCATACCTATGCTGGGAGGCAACATTGGGCAAGGAAACAGGCCCTGGGGTTGACAGCTTTCCAAGAGGCCCCCCCAAGAGCCCCGACCTGGTACTCTACCTCTGAATGTACTGAGGTTGAACTGCATTAGCAGTAAGGTCATGTAGAAGATGAGGTCGCAGGGGCATCCTGGTCTGTCTCTCTCTGTCTCTAACATCCCCCATTGTGGGGGAGGCCAACTGTCTTTTGCTATGGAGAGGCCAACAGAGTGTGGGGTTTATAAGCTGGTCTCCAGCCTTCAGATGGGACCCCAGCTGCTGCCAACATCTCAACAGCAATCCGAAGAGACTGAGAGCCAGGACCACCCAGCTGAGCCATTCCGGGACTCCTATCCCTCAGAAGTTGTGTGAGATAATAAGTGTTTGTTGTTGTAAACTGGTAAATTATAGGTTAATTTGTTGTACAGCTATAATTAACAATAATGTTTTACGTAAAATTAAAGTAATTGTAAGTAACAATAGCAATATACAACTAATGTGCCCACGGTCACCGAGGGCCGCCAGCACCACGTGCCCACTTGATGATGGGGCTGTGGAAGAGTTGGGTGGCGCGAGGCCCAGAAACAGCCCTTGCAGTGGTGGTGATGAGCAGAGCAGACTGGACTCATGTCCATTGAGAAGCAGTTCCCCTGTAAGTGCCAGCCCCCTGTCCCCTTCCACCCCCATCCTGGGCTGACCAGCCACAGCCCAGGCCCATCCCTGTGGCTTGTGGGCAGGGCAGGGGCCATTTCCCTTTCAGTAACTGAAGGGGCACAGAACATGTATCAGAACATGGTGTTGGGGGTTCCGGGGCCCCAGATTTCAAACAAAAACAGGCAGAGGTGATGCTCCATGCTGGGAACCACAGAACTGACTGCCCTGCCCAGGGAAGCTTGTTCCCATCAGCCCTGCCATTCCCAGCATGAACCCTGCAACCTGCCCCAGGGTCACACTGACCTGTCCCTAGTGGGCACATCAACCCTGTTTGCAGCCCAGTGTTCATGGTGACCAAGAGGCAACTGGCTGCTGCTGCTTCAGAGGTGTCCTGCCTGACCCTGACACCCACCTGGTGATTTTGGGCTCACTTCCTGGGCTCCTGCTTCAAACAAAAAGTCTGCATGTCTGTGTGGGGACGTGGGGGCCAATTCCTGCCTTCCCATCTTTACCCACAAGTGGGTCAGAGGCTGGTGAAGAGAAGGACTTCCCTTTGCTAGGATCCCCCAGCACTCCTTACTCTGTCTAGCACATGGGATAGGGCTCAGCAGCTCCAGGTGTGGGGAGGCACTGCAGTCCTCTCCTGGCCGCCATGTCCATTCCCTGACATATGAGCTGACCATGACTTGGGCCATACATGACATCCAGGGGCCGGGCTCCAGCCAGGGCCCCTCTGCTCCTGACCCTCCCTTCACATGGCCTTTCAAAGTCCAGGCCTCTGGGGCCCTGGGCTTGGACTTTCCCTGCCAGCCCAGGGTCAGTAAAGTGTTAGGGAAGACCTGGCCGAACTTTTTCCTCTACCTGGATCAGGAGGCTGGTTCTGGACCAAACCCCAGGTGAGACAGGGCATCATCTGGCTGTGTATACATGGGATTTTCTTCTCTCTGTGTCCCCTGAAGTTTGTTTTGTTGAATTAAGAGGTGAGAGTAACGTCCCAGGACTGAGCTGACCAGTCTGCCCACTTGGAGCCTGAACTCTTTGGTCAGACTTTTCCAGAGTAGAGCCCAGGTCCCATGGATTGAATATTTGTCTGCAAACTGCCCCTTGCCCTGCTAATTCATATGTTGAGTATTACCCCCAAGGTGATGGCTTTAGGAAGTGGGGCCCCTGGAAGGGAATTCCGTCACAGATGGCATTAGTGCCCTTCCTTTTCCAGAGAGACGAGAAGGGAGAGCTCGTGCTCACTCTGCCCTGTGAGCACGTGGCTAGAAGGCAGGCTTTCGCCGTGAAGAGGTCCTCATGGAACGCACACCCGTGCTGGCATTTGCCTCTGGGTTCCTATTATTGATTTGTGCTGTTAGGGCAGCCCAACTGACCAGGATGCCTGGGCTTGATGTTACTACACAGACAGGAGCCTGGAGGTGGTTACTGACTGCCCCTCCTGGGACAGGAACAGGAGTTCTGGGTATTTGGGTTGGTGCTCCTTGTGCTCAGGTCCTTCCCTGCCACACAGATTTGACTCCTGTGCAAACCCAGAAATCGACGTCTTCCTGGGTCAGGAGGAGTTCCAGCCTGAGCCCCAGGGTCCTGGGGAAAGTTGGAGCCGCCCCAACCTGGAGCTGGGGAGTGTTGTGTGGAGCGAATGAAATAAAGCCTATAATGTGTCAATGAAATTTCATTTAACTATCAAAAAGAAAAAAAAAAGGGGATTTTATTTGAGCCAAACTGAGGATTATAACCTGAGAAGCAGATTCTCAGAGGGTTCTGAGTACTGTTTCACTTTTGGTGTTGTTCAGTTGCTCAGTTGTGTCCAAGTCTTTGCGACCCCGTGGACTACAGCATGCCTGGCTCACGTGTCCTTTACCATTTCCCAGAGTTTGCTCAAACTCATGCCCGTTGAGTCGATAATGCCATCCAACTATCTCATCCTCTGTTGCCCCTTTCTCTTCCTGCCCTCAATCTTTCCCAGCATCGGGGTCTTTTCCAATGACATCAAAGACACAGTCTTACACTTTTTTTTTTTGGCCACACTGCACAGCTCGTGGAATATTAATTCCCTTATTAGGACTTGAACCTGGGCCACAGCAGTGAACACCCAGAATACTAACCACTAGGCAACCAGGGAACTCTCTTCATAGACGTTTTTGAGACAAAGCATCTTATATCAAAATGACATACTGATATTTTACATAATGGTCACCAAGGATACATAGTCCAGATAAGCACTCACATAGGAGCAGCAAGTCACCAGGAGCCCCTACAGAGCTGGGGAAGAACTCTTCTTTAAGAAGTTTCATTGCTGGCATCTGAAGAAAACAAATTGATCTTCTCTGCAGATCAGGTACCTTTTTGAGGAACTCTGGTTCCTGTGTGATGCCGGTGCACATTGTGAATCGCCAGGGCCCACAGCAGTGAAAGCACTCAGTCCTAACCACTGAACAACCATGAAATTCCCAAAACATAGATTGAAAATGAAAGACTGGTCCTTGGGAAGTGGAAAAGAAGTGGAGTGAGCCCTACACGGCCCCAGCTGACGACTTGGAGACAGTTTTCAGGCCCCGGTGCAGGGCCCGAAGCCAGGCAGACTCCCTGAGTCGAGGAGATGGAGCTGATAGTCCTAAGGGACAGAGTTCATAGCACAGGGGTCCGAAAGAAGAGAGGTACCAGGACAGAACTCCAGAAAGCTGCAGGGGACCCTCAGACCTGATTAGAACACCCTTGTGTGGAAACTCTCCCAGGCCAGGGAAAGGACCCCCAGAGGGTTAGACAGCAACCCCTGAGTTCACAGAGTTCTAGTCTTCACCATCCAGAACAGAAACCCTGCAACTACAGGGCAGGTGGCAGAGTGACCAACAGGGTCTTGTCCAGCAGTGAGGAACACTCAGCACAGGTGAAGCACTATTTCAGGCCTGCCCAGCAAAGTTTACCATCAAGATCTGAAAGGCTCAAGCTGTTTCCAAGTAACGCTGCACACAGAACAGCTCAAGACTGCTCATAGCAGAAAAAAATTAATATCTAGAACCAAACACATTGAAATTAATGTCTGGTGTTCAGTAATAAAAAATTACTGGGCACGCAGGGAATCAGGAAAATCTGACCCACGATAAGGAGAAAGTTCAGTCAGTTGAAAGCACCCTAGAAATATCACAGATGATAGACAAGGACACTGGAACAGTAGTCACAGCTGCACTTCCCAAGTTTGAGATGCTAGAGGAAAGACTGAATGTGTTGGAGACACTGAAGCTATAAAAAACCCCAAATGAGCTTTTAGAAAATTTTGATGGGGGACATCCTTGGTAGTCCAGTGGCTAAGACTCCACACTCCCAATGCAGGTCAGGGAACTGGATCCCTGGTCAGGGAACTGGATCACAATGCTGTAACTAAGAGTTCACATGCTGTAGCTGAAGATCCAGCATGCTGCAACTGACTCAGCCTAGCCAAATAAATAAAAATTAAAAGAAAATGATGATGTCTGAGGTAAGGAACACACTGGGTGGGAGTAATTGAAATTAGAGTTTAGACATAGAAGAGGAAATTATTAGTAAACTGCAAACATAATAATAAAAACTATCGAAAATAAAAGTTTTAAACTAGGAGTGGAGAAAAGAACATTAGTGAGCTGTGGTCAACATCAAGGGCCTGACATAAGTGTCATTAGCTTCTGGGGTGGGGGGAGGTGAGAAACACTTGAAGAAATAATGACTGGAAGCTTTACAATCGACATAAATGATAAGCCCACAGATCCAAGCACAAGAAGTTTGAAGAAAACTACATTTAAAAACATCATAATCAAATAGCTGAAACCTAGCAATAAAACTGATTTCTGCTCTAACCAGTTCTAGTCAAAGATGTAAGCATAGTGAAGATGAAGATTCACCAAACAAGCTCTATACGTTGGTTACCTATGTACATGTCACCACTTTAAAAAATCTACAGTTAATGTGGATAAGCACTAACTGGTGATTGTCCAGTAAAGTTAGAGAACTGCCAAAACAAAAATGAAACAGACAAAACACTCCAAAAGATGTGGGAAGTTCTAGCCAGGCCAGTTAGGCAAGAAAATGAAATAAAATGCATCTATATTGAAGAACAGAAGTAAAACTCTTTATCTTCAAATGGTATGATCTTATATGTAGAAAATTCCATGGAATGCACTAAGAAAAACCATCAAAATTAATAAACGAGTTAAGCAAGTTTCCTGGGTACAAGATCAATATTTTAAAATCAATTATATTTCCATGCACTGTTAACAATCTGAAAATGAAATAAAAAATCTATTCAATTTATAACATCAAAAAGAATATAAATCTTATGAATAAATTTAATAAAAGAACAAAACATATTTTGAAAACTATACAACATTGTTGACAGAAATTAAGTATTTAGAAATTCTAAATTAATTTAGAAAAAAATTTTAAAAGACCTAAATAAGCAAAAAGATATTCCACATTCATGGATTGGAATGCTTAACATTGTTAAGGTGACAGTGCTTCCTAAATTGAGCTATAGATTCAATACAACCTCTTTAAAGTTCCAGTTAACATTGAAATTGATGAGGTGATCCTAAAATTTATATGGAAATCCAAGGGACCCAGAATATTCAAAACAATCTTGAAAAAGAACTAAGTTGTAGGGCTCAAACTTGCTGATTCCAAAGGTTACTACACAGCTATGATAACCAAGACAATCCAGTACTAGCACAAGGTTGAACATATTGATTTGATGGAATAGAATTGAGAGTTCACTCTGTGACAATCTAAGGGTGGAATGGGGAGGGAGATGGAAGGGAGGTTTGGGAGGGAGGGGACATGGGTGTACCTATGATTGATTCTTGATGTATGACAGAAAACCACAAAATTTTGTAAAGCAAATATCCTTCAATTTAAAAAAATAATAAAGTGGTCAGAAAAAAAAATAATTGAGAGTTCAGAAACAAGCCTTCACTTTTAGTCACTTGCTTTTCAACAAGGATGTCAAAACAATCCAGTAGAGGAAAGAATAGTCTTTCAACAAATTGTACTAGGATATCTGAATTTGTTGTTGTTCAGTTGCTTAGTCGTGCCTGACTCTTTCCAACCCCATGAACTGCAGCACTCCAGGCTTCCCTGTCCTTCACCATCTCAGCTTGCTCAAACTCATGTCCATTGAGTCAGTAATGTCATCCAACCATCTCATCATCTGCCATCCTCTTCTCATCCTGCCTTCAATCTTTCCCAGCATCAGGGTCTTTTCTAATGAGTTGGCTCTTTGCATCAGGTGGCCAAAGTATTGGAGCTTCAGCATCAGTCCTTCCAATGAATATTCAGGATTGATTTCCTTTAGGATTGATTGGTTGGATCTCCTTGCTGTCCAAGGGATTTTCAAGAGTTTTCTCCATCACCACAACTCAAAAGCATCAATTCTTCAGCACTCAGCCTTCTTTATGGTCCAACTCTTGCATGCATACATGACCACTGGGAAAAAACATAGCATTGACGATATGGATCTTTGTTGCCAAAGTGATGTCTCTGCTTTTTAATACGCTATCCAGGTTTATCATAGCTTTTCTTCCAAGGAGCAAGCGTCTTTTAATTTCATGTCTGCAGTCAACGTCCACAGTGATTTGGGAGCCCAGTAAAATTTGTCACTGTTCCCACTTTTTCTCCTTCTATTTGCCATGAGGTAATGGGACGAGATGCCATGATCTTAGTGTTTTTAATGTTGAGTTTTAAGCCAGCTCTTTCACTCGCCTCTTTCACCCTCATCAAGAAGCTTTCATTTCTCTTCCCTTTCTGCTATTAGAGTGGTATCATCTGCATATCTGAGGTTGTTACTATTTCTCCAGGCAGTCTTGATCCCAGCTTGTGCTTCATCCAGCCTGGTATTTCGCATGATGTACTCTGCATATAAGTTAAATAAGCAGGGTGACAATACACAGCTTGTCCTACTCCTTTCCCAATTTCGAACCACTCAGTTGTTCCATGTCTGGTTCTAACTGTTGCTTGATTCCCATACAAGTTTCTCAGCAGACAGGTAAGGTGGTCTGATAATTCCATCTCTCTAAGAATTTTCCACAGTTTGTTGTGATCCACAGAGTCAAAGGCTTTAGCGTAGTCAATGAAGCAGTAGTTTTCCAGCGTGGTTATCATTTTTCATCTCCATCTGGAGTGCACAAGAGTTCCAGTTGTGCTCCACATCCTCACCAGCTCTACGTCTGGTCAGACTTTTAAACTTTACTGTTCCAGTAGATGTTAGTAGTGTCTCATTTTGGTTTTGATTTGCATTTCCTCAATGACTAATGATGTCAAGCATCTTTTTATGTTTAAATGCATCTATATATCTTCTTCCACAAAATAACTGGTCAAATCTTTTGCCCATTTTCTTCATTGGGTAATTTGTTTTCTTTCTTTTTTAAGAAATTTTGGCTGTGATGGGTCTTCATTGCTGCATGTGTGCTTTCTCTAGTTGCAGAGAGCAAGGACTACTCTTCATTGTGGTGCATGGGCTTCTCACTCCTGTGGCTTCTCTTGTTGTGGAGCACAGGCTCTAAAGTGTGGGCTCCAGTAGTTGTGGTGTATGGGATTTGTTGCCACGTGGCATATGGAATCTTTCTAGACCAGGGATCAAACTTGTATCCCCTGCATTGGCAGGTGGATTCTTCACCACTGGACCACCAGGGAAGTACTATTTGTTTTCTTATTGGTGAGTCTTAAGAGTGCTTTGTTGTTGTTTAGTCGCTAAATCATTTCCAACTCTTTGCTACCCTCTGTCCATGGGATTTCCCAGGCAAGAATACCGGAGTGGGTATTGGATTGAACCTGGGTCTCCTACATTGCAGGCAGATTCTTTACTGCTGAGCCACCATGGAAGCCCAAGAGTTCTTTATATATTCTTTTTGTAAGTTCACAAAAAGACTTAAACACAAATATTCTAGCAGCTTTACATATAATAGTCCCAAACATGTGAAAGGATAAACAAATCTTGGCATGTCCAACAATGGAACATTTATTAATTATAAAAAGATCCAGAGACTTCTCTGGTGGTCCAGTGGTTAACAATCTGCCTGTCAATTCAGAGGACATGGGTTGGGCCTGGTCCAGGAAGATTCCACATGCCACCTTCATGATTTGGGGGGGTAGGCAAAGAGTTCTGTAAAAAGGCAGAAACAGTGATAAGCATAAAGGAAACTGTTGATAACTTGGACTATTTTAAAATTTAAAACTGTTGTTCAGTTGCTCAGTCGTGTCTGACTCTGCGATTCCATGGACTACAGCACACCAGGCCTCCCTGTCTTTCACCATCTCCTGGAGCTTGCTCAAACTCATGTTCATCCAATCAGTGATGCCATCCAACCATCTCATCCTCTGTCGTCCCCTTCTCCTGCCTTCAATCTTTCCCTGTATCAGGGTCTTTTCCAATGAGTCGACGCTTCTCATCAGGTGGCCAAAGTGTTGAAGCTTCAGCTTTAGCATCAGTCCTTCCAATGAATATTCAGGACTGATTTCCTTTAGGATGGACTGGTTGGATCTCCTTGCAGTCCAAGGGACTCTCAAGAATCTTCTCCAACACCACAGTTCAAAAGCATCAATTCTTGGCACTCAGCTTCTTTATGGTCCAACTCTCACATCCATACATGAATACTGGAAAAACCATAGCTTTGACTAGATAGATCTTTGTCAGCAAAGTGATGTCTCTGCTTTGTCATATGCTGTCTAGGTTGGTCATAGCTTTTCTTCCAAGGAGCATCTTTAAATTTCATGGCTGCAGTCACCATCTGCAGTGATTTTGGAGCCAAAGAAAATAAAGTCTCTCACTGTTTCCACTGTCTCCCCATCTATTTGCCATTAAGTGATGGAAATGGATATCATTATCTTTGTTTTTTGAATGTTGAGTTTTAAGCCAGTTTTTTCACTGTCCTCTTTCACCTTCATCAAGAGGCTCTTTAGTTCGTCTTTGCTTTTTGCCATAAGGGTGCAGTCATCTGCATATCTGAAGTTATTGATATTTCTCCCAGCATTCTTGATTCTAGCTTGTGCTTTATCCAGCCCGGCATTTTGCATTATGTACTCTGCATTTAAGTTAAATAAGCAGGGTGACAATATACAACTTTAACGTACTACTTTCCCAATTTGGAACCAGTCCATTGTTCCATATCCAGTTCTAATTGTTGCATCTTTACCTGCACACAAGTTTTGCAGGAGGCAGGTTAGGTGGTCTGGTATTCCCATCTCTTTAAGAATTCTCCAGTTTGTTGTGATCCACACAGTCAAAGGCTTTAGCGTAGTCAATGAAGCAGAAGTAGATGTTTTTCTGGAACTCTCTTGCTTTTCCTTTGATCCAATGGATGTTGGCAATTTGATCTCTGGTTTCTCTGCCTTTTCTAGATCCAGCTTGAACGTCTGGGGGGTTCTCAATTCATGTTGAAGCCTAGCTTGGAGAATTTTGAGCATTACTTTGCTAGCATGTGAAATGAGTGCAATTTGTGTGGTAGTTTGAACATTCTTTGTTATTGCCTTTCATTGGGATTGGAATGAAAACTGACCTTTTCCAGTCCTGTGGCCACTGCTGAGTTTTCCAAATTTGCTGATCGATAGGAAAAGACAGAATCACTGAAGAGATACACGTCCTCACTAAAGATGATGCCAAAGGCCAATAACTTTATTATTAAGGAAAATGCTTCACCAGGCCATGTGGGAGCAGACATGTTGGAGCAAAGGCACAGCCACCCCATGAAACTGTTGGGCAGTGTCCTCTAGAGCTGGACAAACACTCCAAGACTGCCACGAGAAAGGTTCCAGAATGTTCATAGCATCACTCTTTGTAATAGCTGCAAACTGCAAACGACCCACATGTCCTTCCACAGGAAGTGATGCAGTGGGACCTCCCTCCGCAGCGAAGCAACCAACAGGGCCCCAGTACAGAGCCTGGTGAGGAGCAGGGAGTGGACCGTGGGATGGAAGGAACATGGACAGCAGGGGTCCCGCTGTCTGCCCCGCTCCAGCGCAGAGCTCCTGAAAGCCTGGGAATTTCTTCTGAGAGCACAGGGCCATCTTTTGTTCTAATGAGGCTCCTGTAAGGGCTGGTCACCAGAAAGACCAAGCCTGATTAGAAGCTTCGACTTCTCTCGAGAAGGGAGAGGAGCTGAAAATGGGGCTAATAAGAGGTTATGCCTTTATGAGGAAGCCTCAGCAAAATCCCACACTGATGCATGGAGGCGTCCTTGCCCCCTGCCGCCCAGCCCTGCCCATCCCCCATCTGGAGCTCATCCATATCCTTCATGGTGTAGATGGGTGTGTCCTCAGTCGTGTCTGACTCTTTGTGACCCCATGGACTGTAGTAGTCAGACTGTAGTCTGACCCCGCCAGACTCCTCTGTCCATGGGATTATCCTTCAGCAAATCATCAAATTTTATAATGAACTGGTGAGTGTTAGTGATGGTTTCCCTGAATTCTTTGAGCTCCTCTAGCAAATTAATTGAATTCAAGGGGCAGGTGGTCATGGGAGCCTCTGATTTGTACCCAAGTTAGACAGAAGTGGTGGGTGATTTGGGGACCACTCTTTGCCATTGGCACCTGAAGTTGAAGGCAGTCTGTGGGACTGAGCCCCCTACCCAAGAATCTCCAGATACTATCAGAATTAACCTGTGGGACACCCAGCTGGTGTCACCAAATTGCCTGGCATAAGAACTTCCCCCACCACTTTTGGTGACCAGAGTGTTGTGGTCTGTGTGTGGATTGGAAAAGAATTTCCAGACATGAGGCAGAATGAGAGGAGAATAAAGTTTATTAGAGTGGGAGATGCTGTTAGGTCAGCAGGCTGGTTCAAGGGACAGTTGATGTTGAACAGGGCTCCTTAGTCCATTTTTATAGCTGGGGTTCAAGGAGCGGGATGGGGTCTTGTGGGTCATTTGCTGATTGGATGAGGCAAATGGAGTCCGTGGGTCCTCAGGAGGACCTGAAATTTATTGATAGTTACTACATGGGGGAGGGAAGGATGATAAGGGCCTGTCTGCTCCCACATTCCAAGACCCTCCTTGGTTTTTTATCTGTTCTTTCATCCTTGGGACATGACACAGAGCAGTGTTTTGTGTGAGCAGTCTGGCAGGAGAGACACAGAAGGGTAACCTGGGTTTTCTCCACACTCAGTGATGAGGAAACACCCCGGGCCAGGCTTGCCCACCCGGGGTGACCGGGGCAGCCGAGAATGCTGCCTGACCTAGCTTTTCCTGGGTGTCTTGGACTCCTTCACTCAAAGACTCAGTCCTCATGGTCCCCACACCCCATCTCCCCCCATCCCCAACCTGCAGACCCTCCTCAGAGGGCCCCCTCCTCTCCACTCTAGGTCCTTCTTATGATGTGTTGCTGTCAGAAATGATCCCATTTACCCAACCAGATGCTTACTGTCCGGCCCCCTTACTCCCTCCTCTGTCCCCCAGCAGGAGGGGTGTGTGTCACTGTACCTGCCTGGGGATAGGCAACACTAGCCTTGAGGGCAGGATGGCTCTGTTCAGTTCAGTCGCTCAATCATGTCCGACTCTGCGACCCCATGAACCGCAGTATGCCAGGCCTCCCTGTCCATCACCAACTCCCAGAGTCCACCCAAACCCACGTCCATTGAGTCGGTGATGCCATCTAACCATCTAATCCTCTGTCATCCCCTTCTTCTCCTGCCCTCAATCTTTCCTAGCTTCAGGGTCTTTTCAAATGAGTCAACTCTACGCATCAGGTGGCCAAAGTATTGGAGTTTCAGCTTCAACATCAGTCCTACCAGTGAACACCCAGGACTGATCTCCTTTAGGATGGACTAGTTGGATCTCCCTGCAGTCCAAGGGACTCTCAAGAGTCTTCTCCAACACCACAGTTCAAAAGCATCAATTCTTTGGCGCTCAGTTTTCTTTATAGTCCAACTCTCACATCCATACATGACCCCAGGTTTGCCACTTAACTAGTTGTGTGGTTACGGACCAGTCACTCACCCTCTCTGTATCTTACCAAGCTCCTCCTGGCACCCCTCTCAGGACAGACACATTTTGGAAAAGTCCTCAGAGGGCTGAGCAGGGTGGTGCCTGCAAGGGGCTGTTGTTCCCAGAAGCCATGTCTCCTGCCCAGCTCCTCCTGGTGACCTGTGGGTGGCAGCACTAGACCCCCGTTCTTGGAGAGACAGCCTGCTTGCCAGCCCCATCCTGGGCTCTGCCTGCAGGGGCCTAGGTCAGGAGAGATGCTGGCAGGAGTGACTGGCTCCCTCTGACCACTGGCAACCACTTCCATGTGGGTGTTCTACTGAGAGCCCACCTGGGCAGGTTCACGACACTGCCAGGGGACGGGCCAGATCAGGGAGGTGCCAGCCCTGACCCAGGTCAGTGGTGGCCAGGTCCAAATGACCTCTAGGAACATTCCGGGACCCTCATTTCTGGGTTCATCACTCTCTCACTCCCTCTGTTCCCCAAAGGCATCAGGGTAAAGCCCTAAGACCCAGAAGCTTTCGGATTGGTCTCGGGGGGCTTCCAGCAGGTGAGGAGACAGGAGGAGCAGGGGTCTGAGTCTTCACAGTGGGTGGGGCCACTTTAGGAGGAGAGAGCAGCTTTCAGCCAAGATGGACCACAGAGTGGCCTTCAGTTTAGGAAAGGGAGGCCCCGGCGGGCCAGACTGTTGGTCAGCATTCTCTGACCGGCATTTGACCTGACCAGGAAGGCATCCCTCACGTAGCTGGAAGCCCCTCAAATGCCATCTATTTGTGGCCTGGACCCTGCTGCCTGGCAGGAGACATGTGACCATGGGCTGTGGTATTTTTGGCAATGGGGGTGGGGCCTGTGCAGCGAGCCCTGCACCATGCCGCTCTGGGACAGGCAGCTCGGACGCCCAGCTCCTCTGCCCCGGCTGGCTGTGGGGTCCCAGGTACAGTACTGTCAGCCCCTCATTCCCACCCTAAGGGGTCCCAAAGGAGACAGCCCCTACAGGGGGCTTCCCTAAGACCAGACAGGAGGACAAGGGGCAACGGGTCAGGAAGCCACGGTGCCCTGGTCTCAAGGCACCTCCATCGCAGGACTGGTCTGGCCAGTGGCCTCCCACGCCCTGGGTCAAGCGGTACCTGACCAAGGGCCAAAGGGCAGCCTCCCATCGGGGGCTGAGAGGTTAGGGGCTCCCAACCAAGAAGGGTTGCCTTGGCTCAGTGAGACGCAGGGAGGAGGGCTTTGTCAGCTGGGCAGGTCTGGGTCAGGGGCACAGACTCTGATGGTGGCCCCAGGGGGCCGGTGGGAACCAGAAGGCTCATTCTGGTTTGGGACCTCCTGCTCAGGCAGGGGCAGAGCCAGGCTCTCCCTGATGACCCCTGAGTGGGGTTTGGCAGCACTGGTGTGACCTTGGTAGGCTCAGAAGAAGCCCGGCAGCCTGTCCCAGTCAAGGCTGGTAGAAGGTCATCCCTAAAGACTGGTCACCTGCTGGACACCACGGCCTTTCCCCCCGTGGCCAGTTGCCACCTGGGGCATGTTGGGACAGTCCAGGACTATCACTCAGGTGAACTGAACCCTAGTGGGTGGTCCTTGAAATGGGCTTTGCTGTGTTGAGTTGGTACTAGCAGCTCTGCAGGAAAGCTGGAGGCTGCCTCAGCTGAACAGAGAACACACACCTTGAGGAGGGAAACTTCTCCTGGGGATGAGGAGCCTTGTGTTTTAGTGAACTTCACTGACTCTAATGCAGGACTGTAGCAACATGTCCTTGTAACGTTACCATTTGCGCTCAATTCGGAAGCAGGGAAAGCAGGAGTTTTGGATGCTCCAACTCCAGGAAAAAGCACAGCTTCTCTCTGGACTCTGTTTGTTCTGCTCTCTTTCAGGACAGAAATGGAGGGCTGGCTTCTGGGCCACGGAAACCCGAGGGGGCAGGTGGGGTGGTGGCAGTGAGTGCGGGCCAGGGCCCCGGGCCTGGGTCTGTGAAGTACCTGGTCTGTGGCTCACGTGCCTCTGCTGACCCAGAATGGAGAACTTCCAGTACAGCGTCCAGCTGAGTGACCAGGACTGGGCTGAGTTTTCAGCCACCGCTGAAGAGTGTGGCCTCCTGCAGGCCGGCCTGGCCTCTGGGGATGAACCCTTGTCTAGCGACACTGACCAAAGGGACAGCAGTGGCAGCAGTCCCCCAGGACCCTCACCCCTTCTCGAGGGGCAGCTGGCTCATGGAGGAAGTAGCTGGCCCAGCTTTGAGGAGGAGGACAAGGCCACCACCCGGCAGCTGGTCAGCAGGTCTTGGCATGAGCCCATGCTGGCCCCAGAGGCCGGTCAGCAGACGCCCAGCACGTCCGCACGGTCAGAAGCTCGGCTGTCCCTCAGCTCTGGTGCCACCCCTCTCATCCAGGTCTCATCCCTCCCGGGGACAGTGTCTTCCAGAGACGAGATGCAGAGGCTTCTGCAGGGGCCAGCCCCCCAGGGCCCTGCCCCTACTCCCGTTGGTGAGCCCGCTGGGAGTCCTGAGTCCCCTGGCCGCAGTGCTGCCCCCCAGAGGTCCCCTGGCAGCCCTGGAGCCCCTCCAAGAAGCCCTGGCCGAAAGAAGAGGCGCACTGCAGGCACCAAAGTGGGTGGGCGCTCGGGTGGCCCAGGCCCTGCTGCCACCCAGCTGGGTTCCCCATTGCTCACAGAGGCCAGGCCTGAGGACAGCCTCAGCCCTGCTGGGTCCAGGGGGAAGGGTCTCCCAGCAGGAGCAGCAAAGCAGGCAGGAGGAACTGGGCAGATTGAGCTGGGGCCAGAGTCTGCAGGAGCCCCCGAGCAGGTGGCCAGACAAGGGCCAGGTGTGGATCTGTCTATGTCTGTCCCTACTACTGAGCAGGGAACAGACCAACTTGGAATGAGCCCCAGAGCTGAGCCATGCGCTGTGTCCATGTCTGACCCAGAGGCTCCTCTAGATGTCACGACTAAGTCAGACGTGGCTCTATCCACACCTGCCTCCGAACCTCTACCCGCTGAGTCTCAGTCTATACCTGCCTTCAACGCTCAACCCAATGAGCCTCAGTCCACACCCACCTTCAGTCCTCAACCCACTGAGCCTCAGCCTACACCCGCCTCTGAACCTCAACCCGATGAGCCTCAGTCTACACCCGCCTCTGAGCCTCAACCTGATGAGCCTCAGTCTACACCCGCCTCTGAACCTCAACCCGATGAGCCTCAGTCTACAGCCACCTTCAAGTCTAGACTGGATATGGACCTGCTTGTGCCGGGCCCAGTGGTCCAGCCAGAGGTGGATTCATCTGTGCCTGCCTCAAAGGCTGTACCATGCACAGCTCTGCCTCATCTTGTGCTCGAGGCTGGACCTGATGTGGGTGTGTCTACACCACCTGCTCCCACACCCCAGGCTGGGCCTGACATGGTGGAAGCAGAGGTTGCTCCTGTAGCCAAGCTGGGTTTGAGCCCTGTTCAGTCTCTAGAGGGGCGCCAACAGAAGCCCAGAGGGGAGCCCTCAATAGATGCCTCTGGACACCACACTGGGGAGCCCCCTCTAGGCTCCATCCAAGCACCCAAGAAGAAGAAAGTGCGATTCTCCATGGCTGTGCCCAGCTCCGAAGAGGCAGGGTCAGAAGAGGCCTCAGGCCCACCCTCTCCAGCCACAGCCCCCAGGATAGCAGCTGGGGGCCACAGAGGATCTGGAGCCTGGGACTCTGTGGCAGTTGGGCCCCGGAGCCCCCAGCCTCGGATTCTGAAGCACCTGCCCCCCCCTGCCCCCTCTGCCTCTGTGGGGACAGGGCCCAGGAGCTGCTTTGCGGTGACCCTCCCGGAAGCCTATGACTTCTTCTTTTGTGACACCATTGAGGAGGAAGACGAAGAGAATGAGGGGGCAGCAGAGGCTGCCCAGGTTCCAGCCGAAGTCCAGTGGCCGGATGTGTGTGAGTTCTTCTTCCAAGACAGCCAAGTCCAGAGGTCGGAGCACCAGGAGGGCCGCTCCGAGGCCCCACCCCTACAGGCTGGGCCTGTGCTGGCCCCTCCACCTGGAGACCCCATGCCAATCTCCATCCCTGAGGCCTATGAACACTTCCTCGATGAGGACAGGTCAGGGGGCACGCTGGGGCCAGCCGCCCTTCTCCAGGTGCAGGCCACAGAGCCCCCCAGGTCAGTCCTCTGGGGAGTGGGGACTGGCGCCCCACCGGAGTCCAGCCCAGCCACAGTGGAACAGCTCACCCTGGCCATCAGGGAAGCAGGTGTGTGTTGCAGGGGCCTCCTGGTCTGTCTAGGACCTGGGAACACACTGTCCAGGGAGTTCAGCCAAGAGGGCCGTCGGGGAGGGACAGGCCAGGATCCTGGGTTGTGAGCTGGTGGGGGGACCTCAGGGATGATCTCTCAGGAGGGGCTCCTCCCCCTGCCCCTCCCCCACTCCCAGGAGACAGTCCAGGTGGAGCAGCCCCAGCCGGGCAGGGGTTGGCTCCTAAGTGGCTGTCACCTTGGGTTCAGCCCCAGACAACTTGGGGGCAGCCCCAGCTCCGTCTGCACTGCCTGCAGGTCAGGCTCACATTCCCTCTAGAAGATATTTTACAAACCAGGAAACAGCGCGCCAGATGCACTCGCCCAAGTCAGCCTGACTCAACTATGCCACACACTACCCTGGGTCTTGGGACAGACGTGTCACAGGAAGGACATGACTCAGGATAGATGTGACCAGGGCAGGTGTGTCTGAGTGGGGGAACAGGAGCTCAGGCCATGCTTCTCTTTCCCAGTGGCACCCCGGGGTCCCCTCACCTCGTTCACCTTCAGCCAGAAAGACATGTGCATGGTGTTCGTAGCCTTTGCTACCTGGGCTGTGAGAACATCAGACCTGCATGCCCCAGATGCCTGGAAAACAGGTTTGTGGGGCCAGGGTGGGGTGGGCTGTTGTCCAGAAGTCCAGTGGAGGGGCAGTGGTGTCCAGTCCCAGCTTCTGGGCTAGCAGGGATGGGGAGGTGCGGGTTTCTCCCCTGACTGATTTCCTGCATTGCGGACCCACCCTGCTCTGCCAGCCTGCCCTCGTCCTTCGAGAGTCAGCCTGTGTGGATGGAGGGTGGTGACCAGGCCAGAACAGAGCCGGCACTCAGGAGGTCTGTGCTTCTCTTGCAGTTCTGCTGGCCAACATTGGCACCATCTCTGCCATCCGATATTTCCGCCGGCAGGTGGAGCGGGGGCGCCACAGCCGCAGTCGCAGCCCCAGCCCCAGCTCCAGCCCCAGCCCCTAGGACCCAGGCTCGGCCCAGGAAGACGCAGGACAAGGAAATGTCCACAGGTGCTCAGGACAAGGCACTGCCCTCAGGCCTTGCCCTCTGACTGTTTGTGTTCTGCAGTGTCTAAGAAGGAGACTGCGTCCTTGGCCCCAGCTCCCCTGGACTCCACTGAGGGTCTGACCAGTGGCCGAGGTCAAGGCTGTGCTCCACACTTGAGAGCGGGGAGATTCTGGAAGGCTGGGTAGGTAGGGGCTGAGCAGGAAGCTGGTTAGTAAGGTGGCCAGGTTAGCAATAAAAAACACAGGGCGTCCGATGAAACTTGAATCTCAGACACTCAGGATGAGTCCCACTTATGCTAAGGAAATGTTTGTGGTTTATCTGAAACCAGAATTAACTGGAATCCTCATCCGATATGGTTATGCTTCTGGAGGGAGGGCCACGACCGGGCACTGGAAGTTAGAGGGGTTCAGAGAAGCAGCAAGACCCCAGCAGGAGATCCGGGCAGGGGGAAAGGGCAAGGAGGCAGAGGGCCTCAAGGCTGGGGGGTGGGGCGGTGTCCCAGCCTCTGCTCTATTTACAAGAGGATAGGCCAGTGGAGGCCTCTGAGGCTTCTCTGACCCCGGAACCCCAAGGGTCTGGTCAAGGCCTCCTTGGCTACTGCCTGAGATGGCGAACAGGTACCCAGAGGGATAGGGGTCTGTAGGCAGGGCCTGGAGCCCCACCTCTGGGGCGCCCTGGAGGAGCTACAGAGACGGAAGGCAAGGGTATTTGGTGGAGGGACTGGACACCTGGCTTCGCCCAGGGCTGAGAGGAGCTGGAGATGGGACAGGAAAGTGGGCGGGGCACAGGCAGTGGTGGAGCAAGGGGGGCTGGGTGGGTGTCCAGCCCTGGAAGCAACACATGCAGGGTCCCCAGGACGCAGGAGACTACTGGCTGCTGAGGACAGGACGCATGGACACAGCACCAATAAAACCTCCTCTTTCCTTCCTGTTTGGTCTCTTGCCAGTTTCTCCCGACCAGTTCATCCCACTCACACACACCCAGACCACCCTCCTCCCTCTGCTCATCATGTCTCAGACCTTTCTGACCTCCGACTCCTGTGTCCTCTGATTTCACATACTCTGACCCTCGCTAACCTGACTTTCTCAGCCCTCCGACCTTTATGCTTGTGCCATCCTTCTTCCAGGTGAAGCTGCTGCCCCACGTCCCCTCCCTCATTCCTTCCCTGAGAGGCAGGCTGAGGTGTGGCCCCTCTGGGTGTCCTGTCACCTTGGCCAAGGTGTCCAGAGCCCAGGGTAACTCAGGGTTCTTGAGGCTCCCTCCACCTGCTGGGGTCAGACCCAGACTCAACACTGCCTGTGGCCCCACAGACAAGTCCCAGGTCCTATTGCGGCCCCTCCTCCAGGGTTGATACAGGCAGGTGATCCCCAGAAGCAGCTGCTGGGGGCCATCAGATCCACTGGATGAGCCCCCGTTCAGGCTCTGGTGCTCCTCGAGGCCCCTGCCGCTGGGAGGGTGACAGAACTTCGTCCTGGACACTGCTGTAGCCCCTGGGGGGGCAGCCATCTGGTGGGGAGGGTGGACATGCATGTGTCTTCAGGAGGTGACACCCCAAACTCTCCCAGAAGGGGGCAGGGCCCTCACTCACCTGGAGGAGGTGGTGAGGGGTCAGGCGAAGCTTCTTTCTCAGGGGAGACCTGGGGACCCCAACCACAGGTCTGAGAGATGGGGGGCTTGGAGACCAGTTCACATATCTGCCTGACCCCACCCCCTCCTTTTCCTTTTGGCCCCCACTTCCTCCCCACTGCTCCCTTCCTGCCACCAAGCCCAGTCCCTGGTTTCCACCCACCACCCTCTTCCCCTGTTTCCATCTCTCCTGCTCCCTCAGGGTCCCAGAAGGCTCCACGCGGTTTCCTCTCCTCCACAGAACCCCGTGCCCAGGGTGGGAGCTGCTACTCACACGCCGAGGGGAGTCTGGGGGCCGGGGCCCCCAGCCCTTGCTGGAGGCACGATGGTGCCGAGAAGCTCGGGCCTGCGGGGCTGCCTTCTCAGAGAGGAAGTGGGGGCGGGAGAGTCCACAGCTGGAGTCAGAGACAGGCATGGACACGGGGACCGAGCGGAACGGGCTGGAGGGCTCAGGTCCAAGCGAGCTCTGCATCACGCTGAGGAACTGTGGGGAGAGCACTGGTGACCAAGGCCCCCTGAGAGGCCCCAGAACCCCCTCAGCCTCCCACAGTGGCCTGAGCAGACCTCAGGCTTCGGGTATCCTCTCAGCCTCAGGCTGTGGGCACACCAGCTCTGTCATCCAGCAGGGGACTGACCTCATCCAGGCTCTGGACGTCTGTGATCTTGCAGTGGGAGGTGGCAGGTGGTGTGTAGGGGTCAGCGTAGAGCGGGGAGTGGGGTGTCTCCAGAGAATGGTCTGGGGCCTCAGGGCTGCTGTCCAGGCTCAACTACCGGCAAGAGACAGGAGACATAGCTTCCTGGGGCTGGAAGCAGCCAGGCCCTTCCTTCTCTGTGCCAGAGGCCTCTGGTGGTTTCAGGACTGAAGAGGCCAGGGAAGTGGAGGGTGGGAGGGAGCAGAGGGTCATGCCCAGAGCCGGGGTCAACATGCTGGCCCACCTTGGTCAGATCCAGGTGTAGCAGGGTGGCTGGGCCAGGCTTCTCAGCCCGGGCCTTGTTCCTGGGTGATCGGCTGCTGCCGCCCCGTCTCAGCTTTGCCCTGTGCCCACCGACGCTGGTGCAGCCAGGGTTGGTTTGCTCCTGTGGGGACCAAGGACCTTCCAGAAGGTTTCCTGGGGCCTTCTCCCACACAATGGTCTGAAGCTACACAGAGTCCCTTGCCCTGAGGAACTAGGGTCCTACTTGCCATGAGGTCCCCAACACAAACTTGCCTCATGGTCCCCTGCCCCCTCTGCCCCATTACCCGCCCTCCCAGATACTCACCGGTGGGGGCCGGGCCGGGCAGCCTGCAGTGGATGCTGCTGAGGACTCAGGGAGGGAGTGGCTGGTGCAAGTGGAGGGGGGTGCCGGGCACCCTGAGTCCCAGCTGGTCCGTGCATCAGAGGAGAGTGAGCCTCGGCCACTGACGACAACCTGGGCAGCCGGCGAGGGGTAGGGGTGAGCCAAGTGGCAGGAACCCCTCCCCACCTCCCCGTGCCCAGGCCCACCCGTCTGTTTTACTGCTGCCCGGCAGCACCTAACCTGCTGACTCCTTACCTGTGTGGATGCCCGCAGCCCCGGGAGGCTCTCAGGGCCGGGTGGTGGGGAGGCCCTGTCCCCGTGGCAGACTGTCTGCAGGCAGAGCAGCCAGTGGCTGTAGTCCTCATAGCTGGCACACACCACACGGATGGTGTTGATGAGACGGCCTGGTGCACGGATGCTGTGAGGGGGCCTGGCAGGCAGGGTGCTCCCTGCAAGGCCCGATGCAGAGCTGGGTGCCCACCCGGGGGCCACAGCCCCTCTCCCAGGCCTGGCTCTCACCCACCTTCAATCAGGAAAGAGCGGATCTGCTTCTCCCTCTCTTCCAGGTTGATGTGGATGGCGCTGAGCGGGAGCTCCCCCTGCAGGGCGTCAGCGGGACAGGGCCTGAGTCAGGCAACAATCCCTGACCCACCACCCCCGCGAGCCCTCCCGAGTTGGGTGGGCAAGTGGACGCCAGGCAGAGGGCAAAGCAGGGCTGAGGCCAACACCTTGAGGGAGGCCAGGCACATCCTGTCTGTCCTAGAGGGGTGTCTTCACACAGGCTCCAGGTGGGGCTTTCTCCAGCCAATGTCTGATTCAGGACTGGTCGGGGACTGGTCCCCTGGCCACCCACTAAGATGGGGGTGGGTGGGAAGGGATCGCGAGGAAGCCCCCTGTATTTCTCGATGACTGAAGGCCATGATCACCCCCAGAGTAGGAGGTACCCTGATGCACAGGATGGACCCTCACACCATGTCTACACCCACGTACGCACACACACACAAGCTTCAGGCACCAGGAAGATGCCTGCTCAGAGATACAGGCCTTCCAGGAGCACTGTGGGCCCCATGCCACCCCCAGGTGACTGGCCTGCTGGTGGCTGTGGACTTGCTAGCATGATACAGGGTGCTGAGGCAAGGTGCCCACCCTCCTTGCCCACGTCAGGCTGAGACCAGACTGACCAGGACAGCAGGCTCGGTGGGTGGGGCCACCTGTCCCAGCAGGCCCCAACATACAGGTTCCTCCTGAGCCACTGCCCCCTCCCACCCCCACGTGCAGGGCGCCTCCCTGGGGCGGGTCTGCAGCGGGGAGGGACCTACCTTAAAGCAAAGCCCATCTGCTTCCTCGGAGAAGATGGCCAGGGAGGTTGGGTACAGGACAAGAAGCCGGTCCCACTGCTCCTGCAGGGAGGTCACAGGGCGCAGTGGGGTCTCCGCTGGCATGCGCGCAGGGCCTGGCCCCACCTGGAGCCTGCACCCCGCCCTCACCTCCTCCCACCTCTGTGCCCCCACCTGTAAGGGCAGATGCTGCAGCTTGACCCTTGAGGCACAGATGGCACTGCCCATCACCTGGCGCCCTGATGCTGTCCGCAGCCGGGTTAGCCTGCGCTGCAGAGTCCGGGGGAGCGCGTCCTCAGCGGGGCCCTGGGAGGAAAGGGTCAGGGGCAGGTGGAGGAGGCAGAAGGGGAAAGGGGTGCAGGCTTCCCAGCACTGACCTGCAGGGGCTCTGGGGGGCAGCGAGGCACCCCTCCCACGAGGGCTATCTGCTTCTCCAGGTGGTAGAGCCAGTGGTCCAGCTCGGCCTGGCTGGGGCAGAGCACGAGAAGTGGGGCGGGCAGCGGGCCTGTGCGGGAGGGACAGAGCTTAGGGCTTAGCCCACTAAGCCAGGGGCCCACAGGAGAGGCTCCTCAAGGGTTGGCAGGAGCCACTGATGACCACATGCGCAGCTCTGGAGGCCCCCAGTCCACTGTCTTCCACCTCAGCCTGGCACTGCACATGTGCCCATCAGAGGAAAAGCCAGGACCCCGCAACGTGCTCAGAGTCCTGCCAAGGTCCCAGGCCGGGTCAACAGGCTCACTGAGCAGTCTTAGAGCTGTCACCTTGTCCCGAAGGCAAGGTCAGCACAGGCAGCACCACCCGTGCCCCCACACACCTGTGATCTGGAAGGCGTGCTCTCTAGACCCCTCGAGGGGGCAGACACTCAGCTCCATCAGTGGTAACAGCCCCTGCCAGAGCAGAGTGGGAGAGAAGGGCTAGGGCCCCTCTGCCTCCCAAGGGTCTGCTCTTCCCTTTCCCCAGCAGCTCCCTCTGCCCATCTCCCCGCACCTGGAAAGTGAGTCCTTCGGGACCATGGGCCTGGAAGTAGAGGTGGGAGGGGAACAGCTCCAGGTAGCAGTCGCTGACATTCTAGGGGAAAGAGGGGCCAGCGTCTGAGGACTCAGTGGCAGGCTCCAGGGTGGCCCCCCCAAGCATGCCCCCCTCCAGCCCGGCCCCCACCTGGCTGTGCTGGAAACGCAGCTGGACCTTGGCGTAGTGCACAACCTTGCCCAGACTCCTCACTGCTGCCCTTCGCCGCCCCTCCTTGAACACACTCAGGAAAGGCTGCTCCAGGATTTCTTGTTGGCTCTGCAAGCCTGGGATGTTCTAGGGTGGGGGAAGAGCTCAGGGGAGGCGGCCTGACTGGTGACCAGCAGCCTTGGCCCACAGTCTCACCATATATAGGTTAAGAACACACGCACAGCATCACATGTGTACAGAGCCCTGTACACACAGTCTCTTCACATGACAACAGTGCAGAACACACACACACACACACACACACACAGACACACACAGCCTCTGCTGGTGACAGGACTCCGTGGTCTAGTGATGGAGTCAGCAACCTTTCAACTCATCGGAAATTCAACTCTTAGCTTCACTATTTCCTAACTGTGTCCCCTTATTTTGGTTACTGTGCTATTAAAAGTCCCTTCAGTCATGTCTGACTCTTTGCAACCCTATGGATTGTAGCCTGCCAGGCTCCTCTGTCTATGGGATTCTCCAGGCAAGAATACTAGAGTGGGTTGCCATGCCCTCCTCCAGGTGATCTTCCCAACCCAGGGATCCAACCCGCATCTCCTGCAGCTCCTGAATTGCAGGTGGATTCTTTACTGCTGAGCCACCAGGGAAGTCTTATTTTGGTTACTCAACCTCCCAAATCCTGTTGGTCAGAGGGGTTTTCAGGTGTTCGAGTGAGACAATGCTCAGAACCCTCCCACACCTCAGCATCAGCAGGTACTGGCTTAAAACTTGGCTCTACGGAGTAAGGTTAGGGTTCATGGGGTCACAAAGAGTTTGACACAACTGAGTGACTGAACAACAAACCGAGAAGGGGGTGCCGATTTGCAGTATGTGCATTTGCCTGGTGGAAGTATTCTCATCACAGCCTGCTAAGCGCCACACTGCCACATCCTCCATCTCCCTCTCAGCAGAGGCCAAGGTCCTGGCAATGGCCAAGAGGTCCTCTCCCCTCACTTCAGGCATCCACTTATCTCAGGATTTTGCTCCTGCTGCCCTCTCTGACTGGACCACTCAGCCCAGCCCCTTCTCACCTAGTCCAGGGCTTGGCTCAGACCCCTTCTTTTAAGCTCTTGTCTGGGCGCTCTTCCAACACTCCAGCCTCACTGACCCCTACCCCTTGGTCCTCCTTTACATTTCGCCTTAGTGCTAGCCACATCTGATGTACTGTCTTTTCCTTCTTTATCTTGTCATCTGGCTTTGTCATGGATGCAAATGACATGAGAACAGGGCCTTTGTCTATTTGCCCCTTTGCTGGACCAGGACCAAGGACAGTGCTCCAGTACTAGATGTAAGGCCTCGGTGTACTAGGGCTTCAACGCCTGTCTGCTGAAGGGAGGGTCAGCGCCCACCAACAGCTGACTCTGGCACATAGAGAATCCTCTATAGGCAGGGGTTTGATGATCAGAAAGGGAGCCAGATCAGGACAGGTGCCCAGCTGGGGCTGGAGGGGCTGAAGTCTGGGGATCAGGGCACACTGGGGAGCTGGCAGGGGCTGCTGTGCCTTGGCCAAGCTGAGCCACCCCTTGGGCAAGCCCAGGAATGTGAACAGACAGACTCAGAGCTTCCGGGCCTCTCTGTCTCTGGGTGGGGCCTCCTGTACCCACACCCAGCGTGGGGAACGATGCTGGGATGGGACCCATGAAAAATAGGCCACGGAGCGGGATGGGCCACACCGCTGGCCGGTGGCCTGGGCTCAGGCTTGGGGCCGTGGCGGGGTAGGCGCCCACGTGGGAGCAGAGCCCACCCCGACAGGGAAGGGGCCTGCCGGCTCCTCCCCTGGCCCCACCCCCTGAGGTTCAGCAAGCCCAGTCCCCTCTCTAGCTGCCATGTCCTGGCACATCTGAGATGTGGCCACATGGAGGGATTCCGGCCAGGGCCTTGTCAGAAGCACCCTGTCCACTTCTCTGAGGTAGCCTGGTTTCCGAAGGCAGCACAGGGGGCCCAGGGAACCCCAGGGAGCAGGAGAGGGGACTGGCTCGGGCTTCCCAGCCTGACAGGAACACTTGGAAAGGTTGCCTGGGAGCTGACTCCAGCAGCTGTGAGGATGGGTGCTGGCCAGTGCTCCCCGCACAATCACAGACGTTGCTCCTGGGGCAATAGCCTAGAGGCTCGTTTCCCTCACATGCCAGGGCCTCTGCACATAGCAGAGCCTCACTCCAGCCCTTGGAGGCTGCGCCGGGCTAAAGGGCAGGTGTCTCTCCCCCTTGGTTAGCAGGTATTCAGCTCAAAGGTGGCCCAGCATGTGCTTGGGAGCCCTCCTTGCTGTGTGGCGTGGGGTACAGGATGACGCAGTGGTGGACCCCAAGGGGACGTCTCTTGGAGAAACCAGGGCCAAGGGTAGTGGAGAGCCTGGCTCACTGAATACAAGAAGCCCCTTACTCTCCTGGAGTGACAGTGGGGGGCGGTGACTCACAGCCCCACTGCCTGCCTGACACCCGTGCCCACACGGCAGCAGACACACGCGCTTGTCCAGCTTCAACGTGCCCACACACGCTATCCTGCACCAGGGCGCGGGGTGGGGGCTGGACACCAGGCCCCGGGCAGGGCTGGCACGTGGCTGGGCACGGAGGCCCCGCCCTGCCGCTCCACTGACTCAGTGCCGGGGCTCAGTTTCGCTCTCCGCTCAGACTCTCGGCCTATGAGCTCCCCAGGGCGGGGCTGCACCTACTTCCTCGCTGTGCTCTGGACTTGACTCTCCTGGGGCCGACAGGGAAGACCCTGGGCCCAATACAGATGGGACACACACGCAGTCACACACAGACCACCCCTCCAAGCCAGGGCACGCTACCCAGTTGCTCACCGTCCCTGGGATGTAGTGGAAGATCTTGTCAGCAGCGGTGTTCCCGTCCGCACCAGCCTCGGTGCCAAACAGGCCAGCCAGCTTCCGTGCGCCATCCTCTCTGGGGACAAGGGAGGGGGGCGCTCACAGCCTGGCCCCTGAGGCAGATTGAGGGAGACCCTGTGACCAAGGGGCCATGGCCATACCCTGCCCCCCTCACCTATTTCCCTTCAGCGAGGGCTTTCTGGAAAAGGAGGCCCGGAGCCTCCTAGGGGCCTGAGGGACGCAGTGGCTGTTCCCCATGGGTGGCAGTGGCAGCTGACCTGAGTAGAGCAGGTAGACAGGTTTGGGTCCTTCAGTCCCCAGCCTCCTGCCCCACCCCCTGGGGCGGGGCTCTGGGCCAACCAGCCCTGCACCTAAGAGCTGGGGAGGCGGAGTCTTTCTGGGAGGGAACTGGCCCCTACCAGAGGCTGAGCTGAGCCTTTCAGCTCCCTGCCCAGGGTCCTCCACACATCAGTCAGCCTGGGGCGTAGGGAAGGGGAGGAGAGATTCCCCCCACTCACAGCCCAGTCAAAAGCCCCCAGTCTGTACAGGACAGGGCTCAAAGGCCATTGCATCAGACTGGAGGTTGCCTAGGGTCAGAGAGCCGGAATGGAGTGAGTTCCCTGAGCCCAGCGACCCCCCTCCAGACATGTGAGCGCACATCCTGTTTCCACGTAAATGCCAGCCTCTGAGTCACCAGTGACTGTACGGGACGTGTGCTCACTCTCAGCTGTTGAAGCGGGACTCTGCAACTGGGGAAGGAGGAACTAGGACCCTCCTGCAGCCTCCTCTCTGCCTCCATCCAACCCTCACCCCAGGTCAAGATAAATGGTCCTGAGGCTTAACCAGAATCCAGATTCCAAGAGAGGGCATAACCCTCCCAGGTGTACCTGGGACCGGTGAGATCAGGGGATATGCCATGCAGAGCCTGGGTAAGACATGGGCCAGCACAGCCCTGCCCCTGGACGTGATGGCACTGTCTCAAAGCCCCCAGATGCCAACACGGAGCCTCGGCTCGGGCACACAGCCACCCCAGGCCCCTCCGGTCACCCCAGACATGACCCTGAGAGGCAGAGATGGACACACAGCCACAGGCCCGCAGAGCCCAAGAAACATGTTTATTGTTCAAGTGGCTCATATTGCTGTGTGGGGATGGCAGCGGACAGTGCCCAGCTCAGTGCAGGATCCAGAAATGACACCACAGCCATGGGAAGGAAGCCCAATTTGTGCCCTCCCTGGGAGAGTGCCTGGCTGGGTGAGGCAAGGGTGGTGTGCAAAGCACAGGCTAGGGGGTCTGCACCTGACTCAGAAAGCCCCCCCATAACTGCTCTGCATCACCCCTCAGTCCCTCCAGGTCTGCAGAGTCCAAGTTGGCTCCTCACCCACGGGGAATGCCAGTGTCTACCCCATTGCTCCCCCAGGGCCCTCAGTAGGGTGGGAGGACACCCAGGAGAGCAGTTTGGCCCCAGAGATAGGACACTTCAAGAGTAAACAAAGAAACGGGTAGCTGCAGCCTGCTCAACATCAATCAATAAATTAATGAGTGAATAAATAAATGGCACACACAAACACTGAGAAAGAAACACAGTAACGCCCGGGCTAGACGCACGGTGGACAGACGGCGCCAGATGTCCCTGGTGGGGGCCAAGCCCCGCCCCACGAGCAGGGGAGGGAGGTGCTGGGCCCTGGGGGCTTAAGGCACGAGGGAGGCCGCCGGCCGGCCTCTGTGCAGCTGTGCCACTGGGTCAGAGGCTGGTGGACGACACGGACAGCGTGGGCGAAGAGGGCGGAGGGAAGTTGAGCAGCTCCAGCACCGCCACGCCCACGCTGCTACGCCGCGTGAACATGCAGGACGCGGCCACCCACTTGTTGGTCCTTGGGTTGTACTTCTCGATGGAGTTGAGGCTGGAACTGCCGTCGTTGCCCCCCACAGCGTACAGCCATCCATCCATGGCCACCAGGTCGTGTGTGCTCCTGGGGGCAGGGTGGAAGGAGAGGAGCAGGAGGTGAGGCTGGGGTGGGGGTGTGAAGAGGGGGCACGGCCAGGGTCTGGGGCTGTGGCCACTGGAGAAGCCTGGGGGGGCTGCCTGGGGAGGCGTCCTTGGGTCGGGGCCTTGGCGATGCGGGGGGCGGGGCCCTGAAAGGGGAGACTCAGGAGAGAGGTGGGGGACAAGCTGTGCAGGGGTGAGGGCCTGTCAGTTGGGGAACAGAGGACAATGGTGGTGACAGTTCTGGGGGCCCATGCACCTTCTGATGTTCATGGGCGCCACACTCTCCCAGGCGCCTGCCTTGGGGCTGTATCTCTCCACAGAGTTGAGGCAGCTGGTTCCATCATTGCCACCAGCCACGTAGAGGGCCCCCTCCAGCACCGCCACACCTGCTGAGCTGCGCCGACTCAGCATGGAGGCCACGGGCGTCCAGGAGTTCACCTGAGGTGGAGAGATGGGCTGGGGGCAGACCCACCACCAGCCTCCCTCCACCTCCACCTGCAGACATCTACTTCAGGGTGAGGAGTCTGTGAGACAACGTGGACATCGAGGGATGACCCTCTAGGGGGTAGGGGTGGCCAGAGTGTTGACCTCAAGCACCTCTGGGGAATGGGGATATGTGATTGGGGAATTTCACACCTGGGGCTCATACTTCTCCACGGTGGCCAGGTGTGATGAGCTGTCATAACCACCCACGGCATACAGGTTTCCATCTGCAGGGAATCAACACACTCATGGCGCACCTGTTATGTGTGAGAGTCCCTGGGGCTGGGTGCTACACAATGCAGTCACCCACCAAGCATGGCCACGCGCACGTATCGCCTCCGTGTGCTCATGGCGGCGATGGATGTCCATGTTCCCGTCAGGGGGTCATAGCGCTCAGCACTGCAGACACCAGGACTGCGGCTGACCTTGAGCAGTGGAGGAAAGGCAGTCCCGGCCCCAGGACCTGCCCTCCCCTGAAGAATGACTAAAATTCCAAGTTAGGCAGTCATGGAGGCTGACCCCAGAATCCCACTGAAGCTGGAAGCAGGGCCATGCTGGGTGGACATGGGCCACAGGATGCCTGGACAATGCTGGGCAGCCCCTGCCCTGGGGGAAGGACCCCAGAGAGGAAAGAACATGCCACTGGGCTGGCCAAGGTAGTGGGGACCCTGGTGACCTCAGGCAGGGTGCCCCTTGGCTCCTCTCAGGCAAGACCCCTGCAGTCCTGGTGCAGCCACAGCTGCTGAGCCAACTCTGAAAGGCCACCCGGCCCTGACCCCAGCCACTACCTGTTGAGGCAAGAGGCCCCATCGTAGCCACCAGCTGCATACAGGAGCCCGTGCAGGGCAGCCACACCCAGGCAGCTGCGCCTCGTGCCCATGGACACCTCCGGCTGCCAGGTGTTGGTCACGGGGTCGTAGGACTCTACGGTGGCCAGATCTGAAGTCCCATCGTAACTAGGGGAGGGTCCACTGCTGATCAGGGCTGGCCCAGTGGGCACACGCCAAGCCCCTGACCTGAGACCAGCCTCTAGTCTTACCCGCCCACAGCATACAGCCGGTTCCCCACTGCTGCCACGCCCACCCGGGCTCGGCGTGTGGACATGGAGGCCACCACGTGCCAGCGGTCAGTGCGCGTGTCGTATGCTTCACAGTCCCCGTGGATGGCGAACAGGCTCCCACCACCTAGGGATGGGGAGGTGACGGGGCAGGACGAGGGCCCAGGGAGGTAGTTGGCTAGGAGGCTCTATCATATCTCAAGATTGAGGGCCTGGAGGCTCCCAGGGCGAGTGGGGCGGGGACTGGTGAGTGGGTCACACCATGGGGGATGGAAGAGCAGATGTGGGGTGAGTGCAGGATGGAACTGGCACAGGGTTGGGGAGTAGGGCTTGTGCTGGGCTCATGGGTAGGGACACAGGGCAGGGCTTGGGGGACAGGATAGGATGGGACAGGTGGGCATACCCACAGCAAAGAGCACAGGGCCAGCGCCTTCACAGCGCCGGGGCCGGGTGCGGCTTGTGCCCAGGACGCCCCTCTGCTCGGGCAGCAGGTGAAACTTGAGGGCCTCGATGAGTAGGTCTTTGCAGTCTGGGTGGTGCCGCACCAGGCTCTCAGCGTCCACATGGCCCAGCAGGAAGTCCCGGCTCAGCAGGGGCAGGCGGACACACTTCATCAGCTGGGGTGTGGATGCTATAGTCAGGTAGCAGGCCCTGCCCTGAGACCCTCTCAGGTACCGTGGAACCTTCTTGAGACACATGCCTGCATTACTCCTGTGGGTTTGTGGGCACAGAAGAGCCCAGGCACAGCTGGGTCCTCAGCCATTGCATCCCCTCCTGAGCACCGGGGGCCCCGCCCCACCGCCCCTCCTCCGCCCCCGGGGCCTGGCCTCACCCGAGGAACGTGCTGCCTCCGGGCATCCACATCATGCTTGACCCAGCTCAGGACGGCACGGTAGACGTCCTCCTCTGAAGGCACGTTCAGGCTGTCGCTAGAGACCAGTTCCAGCACCTGGGGGTGGGGACCCTCAGACCTGAGATCTGGGGAGGATCCTGGGGCCCATGGAACCCTGAAGGTGCCTGGGAGGGACAGTCCAAGGGGCCCAGTGTTCCTATGAGGACGGGCCAAGCAGGGTCAGGAGCCACAGGTCCAGTTCCTGGGGACCAATTCCAGGGTCGTTCTGGGGATGTGGAATCAGGGACTGCTGGGGTAGTAGGTAGAACGTGATCAAGCCGAGAGAGCGTCAGGAATCAATGGTGAGTGCTTGGGTGGAGTTAGATAATGGGGGTGGTTGTGCCCAAGGGACGGTGATTGGGTTGGAATGTGGATCAGAAACTGGGGATAAAGGTTGAGAGACAAAGGACCAGGTCTTTAGGGTGCAGATGATGGAGCCAGGGACCAAGGCTGGCTCTGGGGTCCAGGAACTGGGTCAGGGTCAGAATCTGGGTCAAAGTCCAGGCTGTTCCCCAGCTACCACGTTACCTGCTTCAGCGGCAACAGCATGAACTCCTCGGTCTTGGCCACGTCCACGAAGTGCTGCAGCACGTACCTGTGTGCCGCCTTGAGCAGGTCACCGCAGGAGTGCGTGTCGGCGAAGCCCCGGATGCCCAGGCAGTTGGAGGGGTCCAGCTGGCTCAGCAGGAACTTGCAGCAGGCGTCTCGGACGCCATTCAGCTGCAGGAGGCTGGCGGCTGGGAGCAGAGTCTGTGAGGCAAGGTGGGAGAGAGGGCCAGAGGAACAGGGGCAGAGAAACAGACGTGAAGACTGAAGGAGTGGCCACACTACAGAGGAGGCTGGGGGCATGGAGTGAGCGGAGGCACCGGCACCGCAGCAGCTCGGGCCATGAGGCTGAGGCCGCCATACCTGCACATTGCCTTCTCCCACCACAATTTCGGCTGTATATGCAAACTGCACCAGCTGGTCCAGGGCCTGAGGGTCGATGTCGTGCAGTGTCACGTGTGTCTGACGGCTCTCACTCATCTCGTCTGGGGGAAAGGGTGGGTATGGGACAGCGAGTCAGGCTGGGGCCCACTCCAGAGCTGCAGAGCCCCCCAGCACCCGGACCTGATGGGCTGTACTTGCTTGTGAACATGGCGTGGAAGTAGGGGCTGCAGGAGGCTAGCACCACCTTGTGTGCCCGGATCTCCTTGGCGGCTACATGCAGGACGATGTCACACAGGAGGCCGCGTTGTCGCATGCGGCTCATGGCCACGAAGGCATCGTGGTAGTGCCGCTTGGAGTTGTGGGACACAGCGTGGCCCTCACGGCTCAGCAGCTGCATTGTGCCTTCCATGGGGGCTGTGGGCCGGGCCTGCCGGGGCCGGGCACGCTCTGCCTCAGGGCTGCACGTGGACAGTGACCCGTCAAGGTGCACTCTGCACAGAACTGCTCACCCACCCTAGAGACTTTGGTCAGGGCCTTGGCACCCAGGAGGCCACCTTCTCCCCAAGAAGCCTGAACCAAGTTTCCATGAAGGACCCATGCCCCTGGGGACCCCACGTGCTCTCCAGGCAGCCACCCACTCTGCTGCCTCACGGCCAGGGAGCCTCCTCGGAGTCCAGCCAGACTCTGCTCCAACCTGCTCCCCGCTGGAGGTCGGCTCCCATGCCAGACCCGGGTCGTTGAAACTGTACAGCTTCCTCTAACACGATCCCTGCTCAGGCACATACTTCCCTCCCGCCAGGAGCACCCCCAGCTCCCTAGGCCCTCTTTTGGGACTAGACTGTCTGTCCATTGCTGGCCACCCTTCCCGCGCCCCGGTCGGAGTCCAGTGTCCTCCGCACGGGCTGCGGGAAGTGCACAATTTGAACTGATGCGTACTGGCCGGTGGCCCTGAAGCGGACCCCTACACCGACAGGCAATGTAACCTCTTTGACCCTTAACCCCTCATCCTGCAGACAGGCCGCGCGAGTCTTTGAGCGGCACAGCCGGAATTCAAGGGCGGCGGGTGGGGTCAGACCTCCGGGAGTAGCCACCTCGGGATGCCCTGCCCCGCGCCGGCTGTATGCGCGGATAACGCAGGGGCCCTGGACCCTCCGCGGTCCGACGAACCGGCGGGGCGCCAGGCCGCCAGGCCGCCCCCTCCCAGCAGCCTGCCAGGTTGGGCGCGCCCCTCCTTCCCTCCTACTCGGCCCAGGCCAGTCACTAACCCTAACCCCTGGCCCACTCACGCTGGCGGCTGCGGCGGCGGCGGCGGCGGCGGAGCCTCCGGCGCGGGCCCGGGGCTGCCGTGCTCCGGACTTTGCGTCCTGCCAGCCGGGCGCTCGCTGCGCGGCTGCATGGGCTCGGCCGCTGGCCCGCCGCCGATCCGCGGAGGACGCACAGACCAGCCGATGCCGGGAGGCTGAAGGGCTGCTCCGCGGTGGCGACCGGCTCGGCGTCCCTCGATCCCGCCGCTTGCCCGCAGCCGCTGTTTCTCGGCGCCGCCCGCCCGGCCTCCCGAGCTCTCCCGCGGTTTCGGGGACGCTGCCTAGCGGGCGAATCCTCTCAACGTTTTGGGGCTCCGTTCTCCTCCTCTTCCAGGAAGCCCCCCGGGCCGCGCCCGTCGCCTATATCAGAAGTCTCCAAGATCTGCCCGCGTCACCTCATTCAAGCCTTCCCGTCCCCGGAATCTTCTGGGGGCCGAATGGCCCAACGTGATTACCCAGGCTGCGTCTGCTTGCCCCTCTCCAACGCCACGCAGGCCCCTTTGCCCGTCTGGCCTCGACTGGACGCTGGCTGAGGAGTGGGAGAACGAGTGGGGTGCACGCCCTTAGGGTTGTGAAGTCCCCTGTCTTGGGATCTGGCTGTCCAGGCCCGCGGACCTCTGCCATTAGACGGGTGGAGGAAGGGGAGGGCATAGGTTGAGTTCTCCATCGCCTTCCTTCCCTAAGGCAACCTTCCAGCCTCAGGGTCTTTGCACCGGCAGGCTGTTCCACAGACCAGGCAGAGGAAAAGTGGTTGTCCCTGCCCGGGCGGGCCTGGAAACTTAGGCAGATGCCTTAGTAACTGGGTTCCCAGGAGCGGACTCGCTGGACTGAAGTATCAGGTATCCTCTTTCAGGGAGATTTGGCCAAACTGGCTTCAATAAGGATGCTTGAATCTTTCCGCTGTCTGCCCGTTCCCGCCCTTCAGTCCTGCCCAGCGCAGGTGCTACGCGACTATCCAGTGAAGTGGTTTCGCAAACTGCTCATCCATAGCATCTCCATTTCTGTTTTCGTTTGTTTTCCGATCTGCGGAAAACTAGATTGTTGGCTCTTTTTATTGATTTGGAAAAGCTCTTTGTATAAGAGTCCTCTCTGATGCATGGTTCCCCTCACCCTCATGCATTTTTTCCCGCGGTCGATGTACTGACATCCTCACTGGCATGTGTTCACAGAGCTCTGGGAGGCTGTGGGCAGGGCTGGGTGAGGGCGACGCGGGCCCCAATTCCACCTTCCGCCAGGTCGATGTCGTTATTAGTGCCTTTTTTGGAGAAAAAGGTTTGTAAGAGGAACAGCGGGATTCCGCCCTACGCGGTTCTGTCGGGTCCTGGAGCTCTGCAGTCGGTCCCTCAACAGAAGCGTGCGGGAGCCGTCACAGAACCAGGCCTGAGCCGGAAGCTCGAAACCGGCTTGCCACCTGGGAGTAGGGGCGCCGCCCGCCTAAAAAAAGAGATGTGAACGCGCCCTCCCGCCTAGATGCCGCCACAGTCACCGTTATAGAACCCTAAAGCCACCTGAAGAGGCGGGGCCAGGGGCGGGGTCGGCCTGCAGGAAGTTCTCCTGGCGCAAGGGCTGCTGGGACCGGAAGTAGGGCGCACGTTGAGGTCCGGCAGTCATGGCGGCGGCGCTGAGCCGCAAGCGGTGAGTTGAGCCTCTTATCCAGCCTCCCGGCGGGTGCTTACATCCAAAAGGCTCCCCTTGCGCCTCTCTGTGTCCCTGGGGAGGCCGGACTGGGCACACCGGGCTGGCAGGGAGTCGTGACTCAAACGGCGTGGCCCGCAGGCGCCTTGAGGAGCTGACGGTGGATGAATTTCTGGCCTCGGGCTTTGATTCCGAGTCCGAATCGGAGCCCGAAGGAACCCCAGAAGCGGAGACGCAGGCGGTGCTCGCGGCAGCCCGGGGCTCGGATGGACCAGGTGGGAGTCCCTTGGCCAGGTGAGTGGGAGCATCCTTCATGGGCTGTGTGTAAGCCGAATCCCCTTAATCTTCCTGTCCCGCTTTACCAGAAGTGTGCTTACCCCTCTTGGCGTCTCATAACCGAGGCCTAGGGACTTCTGACTCCTCCCCAGACCCTTCGCTTATTTATTCCTCCATCGGTATTTACGGGGCGTCTGTTTTGTGCCAAGTCATCCAGATGATGAGCCAACGTTGGAGGATAGTCTTCTTTTCTGGCCTCGGAGAGCTTACCCGGCCTTGGATAAACGACAGTGTATAGGGTGGTAGAAGCGAAAAGTGCTGCAGACAAGAAGTAAAAGCAGAAGGGGATAAAAAGAGAAAAGAATAGGGATCCTAGCTGGGAGCGCCTGCGGCAGTGTTCAATAGAGTGGATAAAACTGTTAAGGAGGTGTTAATTTAGCAAAACCTGAGGGAGTAAACTGCAGCGGTAGGGGAAGAATGGCAGCAGGAACAGAAAAGGTCCTGCGGTGAGAGTACTCACTCAGAGGTGAGCACGGCTGTGGCAGAAATGAAGGGGAAATTAGCAGGAGGTGTATCTGGAGATATGATGATGGCAGGGTCTTGTAGACTTTACTTGCCTTTCAGTACAGCTGGAAGTTATCTCAGGGTTTTGAGTAGTGATGTAATGTCATGTAACTGTAACAGAATAGGTCCCTTAGGTTGCTGTGCTAAGAGCAGCTGTAAGGGGCAGGGATGGACAAGGAAACTGAGAGATGTTGCTGGCTGGAGAGGAGTCATGAGAATTTTGAAAGTATTGATGGTGAGATCTCATGACAGGTTGCATGCTCAATGTGAGAGTCAGAGAGGGTTTACTTTTCACCTAAGTACCTGGAAAGGGGGAGTTTTCAACTGAGATGTTGTTCAGTCACTAATTCACATCTGATTCTTCTGCCACCTTGTGGACGGTAGCCCACCAGACTCCTCGGTCCATGAGATTTGCCAGGCAAGAATACTGGAGTGGGTTCTCCAAGAGCAGGGTGTGGGCAGAGCAAGTTTGGAGGAAATCCAAGTTCAGCGTCATACGTGTTGGGATTGAAACAAGTGCATTGAAACATGTGGAGAGACTGTTGAGTGTACGGGTTTGGGTTTTGGAGGGAGAGAGATCTATTGAAAACCTAGTCTGTGGAAATCCCCCTGCCTTGGTTGTTGGCAGCTGCTATGGAGGGAGCAGACTTAACCTTGTAGATTCTCTGAGGAGGACAGGAAGCCTCATTCCACCAACCACCCCCCAACTCATTTCCCCTCGGCCTTGGCTGTGGCTGCCAATCAGACTTGAAGACCCCCACCTTCTCAGTTGGCGTAAAGGTGGTGCATCTGAGCACAAGAACCAGCTCTCTCGGCTGAAGGACAAAGACCCTGAGTTCTACAAGTTCCTGCAGGAGAATGACCAGAGCCTGCTGAACTTTAGCGATTCAGACAGCTCTGAGGATGAAGAGGAGCAGCTCCACTCCCTGCCAAACATGCTGGAAGTGAGGCCCTATGCAAAGTTGGTGGGGGACAGGGACATATTTGTGGCCTCTGCATCCCATGCAGCCCGACCCCCTGTGTTTGGCGCAGGAAGCAAGTGAAGAGGAGGAGGAGGACGACGGGGTCCCCAGAGGACTTGAGGGGAAGAGGAGGGATTCTATCCCTGTGACCCTCACTATGGTTGAGAAATGGAAGCAGGCAGCAAAGGTGAGAAGTGGCGGGGGTGGGGGGGGGCAGCTGACCCCCCCTTTTCTGAGTCTGCCCTTGCTTCATTTCAGTAATTTGGGGCTGTGCAGGCTCAGGACTTCATTCTCTCATTCAGAGACTAGGGCTTCTGCCTGTGCCCTTCTTCTCAGTTTTTCTCCAGGGCTCCCTGAAGCCCACTGTGGGGAGGATGTGGTCTCTCTTGTCTTTGCTAGTTGGTGGAGGCAGGACCATTTTGAGGGCCTTGCAGTGGTTTCTGCAGGGAAAAGAAAGGTCAGAAAGGGAGAACTCCAGATACCACTTAGAGCGGGTCATTGTTCAGATCTGGGACCCTCCACCCCTCCCCTGTGGCCCTTCCAGGAGGATTCTGGACTCTTTTTTTCCTACATGTGGCTGAGTAACACTGCTCCCATTTCTGCTCTTGGTCTGGAGACATGGGTGAGGGGTGCCTTTCTTTCAAGGCAATTCCTGGAGCTCCAGCTAGCTGCCTTTTGCTTTGCCAAGCACAACTGACTGCACCCCCAACCTATGGGTCCTTCTGCCCCTTTAGCAGCACCTTACACCAAAGCTGTTCCGTGAAGTTGTGCAGGCGTTCCGAGCGGCTGTGGCCACCACCCAAGGAGACGAGGAAGGCGCTGAGACCAGTAAATTCCAGGTCACGGACAGTGCTGGTGAGCTGGGGCAAGGGGACCAGGCATACAGGCTCTCTATTTGATCCTCTGTTCTGAGAATGTTATCTCTGGACCCCTTGTTGCAGTGTTCAATGCTCTGGTCACCTTCTGCATCAGAGATCTTTTTGGCTGTCTCCAGAAGCTGTTGTTCGGAAAAGCCCCAAAAGACAGCAGCAGGTAAGAGAAAAGAGTACGGCACAGGTACATGGTCAGGGGCCTGCCCTGTGAACAGTGGTGGCACTGGGATCTAGTGGCCCCACCTGATCCAGAAGGATGCTGAGGACAGACCCAGGCTCTTTGCAGGGCTCTTGGCAGAGGCTGGACAGTTGGAGCCCTTTGGGGGTAGCTCTGTCCTTTTCCCGGCCCAGATTCCTTAAGAGCTACAGAGTGTGTGCTTGACTCTGGTCCACCATCTTGGGATAGGATTCTCTCTCTCCTTCTTTGGACTAATCAGTCTCACCTACTCTCCTTGGTTTTTGCTCTGTGGCATGTGTGTGCATGTGTCTGGCTAAGCAGGGGCTTCATCCATTCAGGTTCCAGGCCTTGACTTCCATATTAGAGGTTGCTTGTACAGAGAATGCTGTGGAAGGGCTTCAGAGGGCAGAGATGAGTAGCTGACATGACAGGTTGTGGGTTATATTGGGGCTCAGAGGAGTCTGGGAAGCTCCAACGAGAAGTCTTGCTGTGACCATCTGAATGGGAGGTGGGGGAGGCCAGGCCAGGATTCGGGGATGGGAATACCTAGGTCTCGTGGTGGTGGGGGCTGGACTGATGGGTCAGGAAGGCGCGGCTATGTGGAAGTGGCTCTGTCTGAGGGGACCAGGGAAGCTGATAGACCCGTGAAGGTGGAGGGAGCCAGGCAGCGAGTGAATGGGCAGCAAATATGCAGTACAGGTGGTGCTGGGTGTGGGCTCCCATGGGGGCCACTACCCTATGCAGAGCAGTCTCCATGGAGGATGGCGGGTCTTGGAGGAGGTGGCGCCACCTCCTGAGTTGTGGCTTTAGATGCCCAGTAGCTGGCATTAGCCAGCAGACTTTCAGGGGCCCCTGTCCTTTATTCTTTCGCATGCTTTAGCAGATAGAATGAACATCTACGTCCTGAGTTCTGTGAGTGTTGAGGGATGATGCCTTTGAGAAACTTGCAGAAGTATCCGCCACTGTTGCTGAAATTAATTTGTAAGTGGCTTGGTCTCTCTAAAGTGTATGTGACCCAGGGAGTTTCCTAGTGGTCTAAGTGGTTAGGAGTCTGTACTTTCACTGCCATGGCTCAGGTTCAGTCTCTGGTCAGGAGACCAAGATCCTGTAAGCCAGTGGTCCCAACCTTTTTGGCACCAGGGATGGGTTTCATGGAAGACAATTTTTCCACAGAGTGGGGTGGGAGTATGGTTCAGACAAGAATTCAAGTGATGGGGAGCACAGATGAAGCTTAGATCGCTCACCCACCGCTTACCTGCTTTGAGGCCTGGTTCCTAACAGGCCATGGACCAGTACTGGTCCATTGCCCAGGGATTGAGGAACCCTCCCAAAAGCCATGAGGCATGGCCAACAACAAGACAAAATAGTGGCCCAAAGGAAGCCAGCTTGTGGTTCTGGTTTGTGATGCCTGGATCAGACCTAGGACTGCAGAATGGGTGCCTGAGCGTGTGGGAGCTAGAGGCCAGAGGTCCGTCTGGAGATTCTGGGGGAAGTGGCTGGCCCCAGCTCAGACAGAGAGGACGTTTAACCCTCTGGCCATGTGGTGGGGGTTTGAGGCTTGATGGTACTCCACCTGAAGTGTAGCTAGGGGCTACCCTTGAGAGAGTCCTAGTGTGTCTCTTGTGTCTGTCCAGCTGGAGGAGCCCCTGAACGTTTCATGGGGAGGATGAGGGGGTGGGGACGGTGTCTCTCTCTACAGGGTCCACGTGCCCTTGTGCTTTGGACACTGGCCTCTGCCTCCTAGTGGCATCTTGAGCTGGGGGATGCTGTCTCTACAGGGTGCTGCAGCCGTCCAGTAGCCCGCTGTGGCCCAAGCTTCGGCTGGATGTCAAGGCTTACCTGAGCGCCGTCATCCAGGTGCAGTTCTGGGAGGTGGGGCCTACCAGTCACATGGGGGCCTGGCTCCTCATCCTGGGCCTCGCTGACCTCTCTTTCCTCCCCAGCTGGTGGCCTGTGTGGCAGAGGCGACAGTGGCAGCAGCTGTCCTCCAGCACGTGGGCAGCTCTGTGCCCTACTACCTGACCTTTCCCAAGCAGTGCCGCATGCTGCTGAAGGTGCGCTGGGGTGGGCACTGCTGGGCAGTGTGCAGGTGGCACCTGTGCTACCCCCTGGGGTTCTGTGTGAGCACACTCGGGGTGGGCTGCCCTGGTGGTGGGCCAGCTTTCTGTCACCCTGTGCATACATGTGTGGATGACAGGTCCGTTTTCACTGTGCGGCCTTCAGGCGGGGTGGCGTGCTGTGTTTTTGCTCCTCCTTGATGGAGCTCTATCTTGTGGCTCCCCCCGGGCGCTGTGGGAAGGGCTGCCTCTGGTTGGGCTCTAGGGGGCTGGTGCAGGTGATGACAGCTTGCCTCCGCAGAGGATGGTGGTCCTGTGGAGCACTGGTGAGGAGACACTGCGGGTGCTGGCCTTCGTGGTCCTCATCAAGGTCTGCCGGCACAAGAAGGATGTCTTCCTGAGCCCCGTCCTCAAGGTAGCGGTGCCCCCAGTTCTTCCCTTGGGGTCTGGGTTGAAAGTCTTGACCTGAGGGCTGGGCAGGCCGCCTTTGTGGTCGGGGCTCTTCACAAACCAAGGGCACTGTGGCTCCTTGCCTGACCCCACAGTTATTCATGCTGCAGCTCTCTCCTTCCTGGGTTCCAGGCCTCCCAGTGACACCCTTCCCCTCTGCACTACAGACCCTTCCCAGGGCTGGTGGACTCGAGGAGCAGGACCATGTTGAGGGAGAGGGGTCTGCAGCAGACATGTCTGGGCTGTGGTTCCTGCTGAGGCCAGCTCTGAGGGAAAGGCCCTGGTGTCTGGAGGGGGCTTAGAGCTGCGTGTTGGGAGCGCAGGGCACCAGGAGTTCAGAGATAGCTCTGACTGAGGTGTTTCCGGCAGCAAATGTATATCACATACGTGAGGAACTGCAAGTTCACCTCTCCCAGCACCCTGCCCCTCATCAACTTCATGCAGCGGACCCTGACGGAGCTGCTGGCTCTGGACACCGGTGTGGCCTACCAGCACGCCTTCCTCTACATCCGCCAGCTCGCCATCCACTTGCGCAACGCCATGACAACACGCAGGAAGGTGTGCAGGAGTGGAGCCTGAGCCTCGTGGGAGAGACAGCTCAGCCCCTTGGCGGGGCAGGGGCCTTGCCGGTGGGGGCTGTGGAGTAGATGGGAGGACCCAGGGACTGACCGAGTGGGTTTCTCTGGCAGGAGACATACCAGTCAGTGTACAACTGGCAGTTCGTGCACTGCCTCTACCTGTGGTGCCGTGCCCTCAGCACCATCTGCCCCAGTGAGGCTCTGCAGCCCCTGATCTACCCGCTCTCCCAGGTCATCGTCGGCTGCATCAAGTGAGTCGGGGATGGGGCAGGCCACCCTGGGGCTGAGGGAGGGAGGAGCCAGGGTTACAGAGGTGTCCTGGGGGGTCAGGGCTAGGGTTACACAGGGCCTTCTGGGGACAAGGATACAGGAGGCTGCCCTGGAGGTCAGGATAGGGTCAGGTCACCCAAGGAGGCATCCGGGAAGGCCAGGAGCAGCGAATTTTCCAGGAGGGTCTGGCCAGTGCCCCTGGTGACCGGGGCCTCCGGGGTGTGGTGCTATGTGACTTGGCAGCACCTGAGGAAGGTCTGGGGTTAGGCCGTCTGTGGCCTTGTGCCTACATTCCAGAATCTTTGTCAGCTGGGCTTCTGGTTACCTGTGATCTTAGTCGAGGATGCAGCACACACATATATTTTGGGGTCACGGGGCAGAGGAGGTGGTGTGCAGTCTGAAGGGAATTGGGGTTTATTTGCCCAAGGCCACTTGCACAGAGCAGATCTGGTGTGACATGCCACGGTGTGCCTATGAATATTCAGTGTTTTGGTCTCTGGGAGCAGAGACTGGAGGAGCCATGTGTGGCCAGAAGAGGGCATCGCTGACCTCCTGAAGGGAAGAAAGAAAGATTTTCACCAGAGGCTTCCACTACCCCACCATGTCACACCTTCAAATGAAATTGAGTTGATAGGCAGGGAGGGTGTGCCCCGGTGTAACAGTAAGATGGCAGGTCCTCACAACTTGGGTGGGGGCCTTTTTCTCTGCCCTTACTTGTCCGAGGTAGGCATGGCCACTGGCCCTGCCGGAGAAGAACCCTTCCTGAGATTGGAGCCCAGTGGGTGGGGAGAGGTTAGGGCAGCTGGGCCAAGAGGGTCTCTGAGGCTGGGCCTTTTTTTACTCCCTCCTTCCCATGTGCCCAGGTTGGTCCCCACGGCCCGCTTTTACCCGCTGCGCATGCACTGCGTGCGCGCCCTGACACTGCTCTCGGAGAGCACAGGCACCTTCATCCCAGTGCTGCCCTTCATCCTCGAGGTGAGCCTGTGCCCAGGGTTGCTGGGGGCAGATGCCTTCTGTTGCATGTGGCCTGATCACCCCTCACCTTGGTACTGCTGTCCTGAGTTCTGGCTCCTCACCCATAGCATATGGGTATGACATAGTACGTAGGTGTTGTGAGGGTGTTGCTCTGCATGGAGCCTGCCTGTGAGTACTCTGTGTGGTGGGCAAGAGTGGCACTACAGGTGAGGACAACTGCACTGCAGGGCCGGCCCGAGAGCGCTGCTTTTAAGCCACAGACTTGGGTTGACCCGGGTGTTTGCCAGTATCACAGTGGCAGAGCTGGGCCGGAATTCCAAAACTCTGTTCCTGTGCTTGTCCTTGCGTGTGTGCATCTGTGTGTACACGTGTGCACACAGCTCAGGTCAGGAAAGGCTTCTGTCCAAACGCTAAAGACCAGGACCAGGCTGTGGGGGTGTGGTTGTGGGTGAGGAAATTACAGTGATGGTGACCCCGGGCTGGAGGGACCCTTCTTTGTCTCCAAACGCTGGTTCTCAAGGTTTTCTGGTCCATTTGAGGAGGAGGGCAGCAGCAGTATATGAAGATGTGCCCTGATCCTGCTTCCTCAGCCAGGGACCTGCTCTGTGGCACAGGGACTCTGGGGGACCAGAGATCTGGAAACTCAAGCTGATGGGGGGAAAGGCTGTGTTTGGGGGCCGAAGGGCTGGCACTGCGTCTTTTTTTTTTTTGGCACTGTGTCTTGTCCTTGGTTTCAAGAAGTGTCTCCAGGGACCCAGGGTCCTGTCGTATGCAGGAAGGGCTGACAGGTCCTTGGGACAGATTTTCCAGCAGGTTGACTTCAACAGGAGGCCAGGGCGCATAAGCTCCAGGCCCATCAACTTCGCTGTGATCCTGAAGCTGTCCAAGGTCAACCTGCAGGAGAAGGCATATCGGGTGAGCCCAGCCTCCGGGAGGGGTCCAGGAATGCCCTGGGCAGGGTCATGGCAGGATGTCGGAGGGCACTGTGTGTGGGGTGCCTGGAGGCAGATGAGTGTGGACAGGAGAAGGCTCACTGCACTCCAGAGTTGAACCTTGTGGGCCTCCTAGGGTTGGGGGAGCCTGGTGAGCATGAGCCCCCATCCTCCCTGATGCTGACCGTTACCTCACTGCCTCAGGATGGCCTGGTGGAGCAGCTGTATGACCTCACCCTGGAGTACCTGCACAGTCAGGCCCACAGCATCGCATTCCCTGAGCTGGTACTGCCCGCTGTCCTGCAGGTGTGTGCCCGCTGCCTCCCACCTGGCTGGTTCCATGGGCCCAGATCCCTCAGCAGACCAGACTGTCTCCTAACGGGCTAGCTCCCCTCATGTGGGGCTGGAGTGAGGCTTTGCAGTCCCAGCCGTACGGAACGAGTGGCAGAGCCTGGCCAGTGTGGCGTCTGCTGACACTGCCTGGCAGCTAGATCCCTGGAGCGCATCCCTGGGTGTGGAGCCTGAGGAGTGGGCTGGTATGGGTGCACTGCGAGGACCCCAGGACCTACCAGTGCTTCTCCACCCTGCCACAGCCCAGGGTCCAGACCAGCCATGAGGTTGCTTGGAGGTGCTGGGGCTGAGCAGGCTGGACCTGGCCCCCCAGCTCTGGGTTGGGCTAGTCTGAGTGTATGCTTTTCCAGGTGCTCCTGAGCTGGGTGATGCAATAGGAGAGGTTTGGGGTGGTAGCAAGCCCTGGCTGTCCACCTCAGCTTTTCTTTAGGCAATACTTGGGGAGGTGGGGTGACCCTCCCTCCCCAAAGCTCCTTCTGGGCCACTTCAAGGTCTGTTTACCCTCAGCCTAGGTACTTCCCATCTCAGGGAGGCCTGTGCCGGCCTGGGCCTGGTGGTGAGTGGGGCGGGGCTCCCCACACATAGTGTGTGTGCACCTGCTGTGTCTGAGTCCCAGGGATCGTGGTCTTTAGAAAAGGGTCAGCAAATGTTTTTGGTAAAAAGTCAGATGGTAAATATTTTAAGCTTTGCAGTCACATGGTTTCTCGAAACTGCTCAACTTTCCCACAGAAGGAAGGACAAAAAAACTCACAGAAATGCATGAACAAATGTGCCAGTATAGCTTTATTTACAGAGACAGGCAGTGGGTGGGATGTAGCCTAGAGAGTAGATCCATGCTGTCCCCACCACTGCCCACCCCTCTGCCTGGTCCCCAGGCTTGACGCACATTCTCCCATCAGCCCTGCATAGGCCCCCAGGGGCTGGGCTATAGAGGTCACACAGCAACACCCCCTCACCCATGTGCACCAGGGTTCCCCTGTCACAGGAGTGTCCCCCAGGCCTGAAACAGGAACCCATGACACTGCCCCACCCCCCACTCCTGCCTGTCTGTGGTCACTGCACGAGGTACAGAACAGCCTTGTGCCTGGAGCTAGGCTGAGCCTCTTCTTCTGCAGCTGAAATCCTTCCTCCGGGAGTGCAAGGTGGCCAACTACTGCCGTCAGGTGCGCCAGCTGCTCGAGAAGGTGCAGGAGAACGCAGAGCACGTCCGCAGTGCCCGCCAGAGAGTCTCCTTCGGCGTGTCTGATCAGCGTGCAGTGGTCAGCTGGGGGCCAGAGCCCAGGCCCTGGGGGCACCAGTCCGTGTATGGCTGGTATATGGGAGTTTACCTAGGGTGGGACATGACCCTGGACTTCTGTACAGGATGCCTGGGAGAAGCGAACCCGAGAGGAGGGGACCCCGCTTACCAAGTACTACAGCCAGTGGCGAAAGCTGAGGGACCGCGAGATTCAGCTGGAGATTAGTGGCAAAGAACGAGTATGGCGTGGGTTCTGGGATATAAGCTTGGCTGGGAGGATGTGAGTAGGGGTCGGTGGGTGCTGCCCCCAGCTGCTGCTGCTCTGACGGAGCAGGTGGTGAGCAGAGCCAGGTAGAGTCTGGGGGCTTCTGTGACCCCCAGGAGGAAAGGCCCCAGGGCTGTGCTGGGGCAGAGCATCTGCTGCCCCTTTTCAGGCCTGATGGGCTGGGACTTTAGTGGGGTGAGTTCTGGGCTGACCTTGTCATGTGGACCTGCAGGGAGGGCTGGAAGAGGTCTAGCTCTGTCTTTGGGTCTGGTCCTGAGCAGTGGGTGTGAATGGTGTGACCTGAGGGGATGGCTTCGTGCCAAGTGATATGGCTGTCTGCAGCTGTGCCCTGGTGTCAGTGTGGGCTGCTGTCTGTTCTGGGGTAATGGCTGAAATTGGGGGGAACAGGAAGGTTGGAGCTTCAATGGCACTTAGTGGCCTGCTTACTGGCCTGGTGAGGCCACTGTCCAGGAATCCTATCCAGTGATGCTGACCAATTGGCCCAAAAGTGGCCAGGCAGGGTCCTCACTTGGAGGGTAGACTGGAGGCTATTGGAGGGGTGTTCAGTGGGGAGGAGGGAGCAGGACTGGGTCTTGGTAAAGCCATCAGTGGGAATGTGAGTTGGGCTTTGGCTGTGGTGGGTGGGCTACCGCCCTCACCTCTGCTCTTGGTCCCTGTCCTTCCAGCTGGAAGACTTGAACTTCCCAGAGGTAAAGCGCCGTAAGGTGGGGGACAGGAAGGATGAGGACAGGGCAGAATTCAAGGACCTCTTCGATCTGGATAGTGATGATGAGGATGATGCTCCGGACTTCACAAAGAGAGGTTTGGCCTGAGTGAGCTTCAGCTTGTGCTGGGGTCATGGGAGCAGGTGTGCCTAGCAGGCTTCCCACCTCATGGAACCACAGGAAGGGCACTTGTCATCACCCCTCTGCCCCTCTTGCCACGTGGCTGGCTTTGAGGTGGGGGCCCTCCTGGAATTGGAACACGGACCTCTAAGCTTTGTGTCACCTCCTCCCACCACAACTTTTTGGGGGCAGTTCCAGGTCCTCTCCAGTTGAACAAAGGAGACCGAAGGGAAGGTGTGATACAAGGCTGTGCCCCTAGCCCCTCTGCTGCTTTAGCGGCCACCTCTGCATTTGCTTGTGGGTCCACTCCCATGGGCGCCTGTGCTTGGTTTTCAGGGATGCCTGGGTCCCCAGGAGCTTGGCAGAAAGTGGAGGAGGAGGATGATGACAGCAGCAGTAGCAACGGGGAGGAGGAAGTCAGCAATTCAGAGGGTAAGTGGTTCCCAGAGTGAGGGCTGCTGTGGTTTTTGAGCCCATCTCTCTGGAGCCCAGGGCTGCCTTGGGGGATCTTGTGGGTGGGCAGAGCCATTGGCTCTAAGCTGGGCCCACGCCCCTCCCTGGGGACACCGGGCCAGCTGCTCCATCCTGGCTGGCTCTGGCAGCCGGCAACAGCAGCAGCGATAAATTAATTAGTGCTGTGATTAATTAGTGATGAGTAACCTCTGAGGCTGGCTTCTTCCTGATAAAGCAGAATTTATGTAGCTGTGCTCTCTCCCTGCAGATGGAAGCCCAGACACAGAGGCGGGGCTGGACCCCCAGGAGCTGTGGCAGCTGGCCCAGGGGCCAGAGGACGAGCTGCAGGATCTACAACTCTCTGAGGAGGACTGAGGACTGCCCACCTAGAGTCTTGCGGGAGCTGCTGTGCAGTGTTCCCGCCTCTCCAGGCAGTCAAACATGCTGCTTCTCCACTGGGGCTGAGCCCAGAGGCCCTGAGGTTAGCGCCCCTGCAGGGTGAAAGGGCAGTAGATGGTGGAGAGGCCTTTATTTTTACAACATAAAAGACCAGAAAGTACCAAATGCCGTCTGGTTCCTGGAGCTGCATCCGTAAACCACCGAGGGGCCCGCTTCCCACCACAGCCCACGGTGGCAGGCGGGAATGCACCTACCCGATGTGGCGAGCTGACACAGCCATGTGGTGGGGCCAGTGCCACGCGCCTCTGTGGCTCCTTGGTCTCTGGCTTATTTGCAGCTCCTGGGATGCAGAGTACCGACCCCCAGGGTGTGCACCAGGCTCTGCAGTCACCCCCAGAGTCTGTGGAAACTGAATGTCATGTGTTTAAAATTGTTTCTGCATCCAAAACAAAAAGGGGATAAGCTGTGGGGGGGAGTGGCCTTTGCCTGGGAGCAGCTGGCACTGAAGGCCTTGGTCTGACACCAACTCAGCACAGAGGCTGGGAGGGGTCTGCAGGCCCTGGGAGCAGAGCCATGGTTCCATTCTCTTGCTTGGGTGAGGCGCGGCTGGCCGGGGGATGCACCCCCCCATAGGGGGAGGGGGCCAATGCTGGGGACAGGGGCTGCTCCCCTGAGCTGAGCTCCCGCTCAGGAGCCCGCACCGTCGGTGGCTGCAGTGGCAGAGCCACGGGGAAGCTGGCCATGTAGAAGACGCGGCCCAGGCGCTTGGCCACCTGTGGAGAGACGGCCCGACGGGGCCTGTGAGGCTGCTGGTGTGCAGCCACACGCAGAACCTCCGAGCTGCCCCTCGGCTGTCTGGAGACCACTGCCCCCTTCAGGTGCTCACCTGGGCCCGGATCTTGAGAGCAGGCCCCAGCTTCAGCCCCATGGTGGTCAGGAGGTGTTCTTCTGTCAGCAGGGGCAGGGTCTCCCCGTCAATCCCCTGTTCTCTGAAAACCTGGGGAGGGCAAGGGGGCGCGGTATCAGGGCCTGAGTGCTGGGGCTGTGTCCTAGGGTGGCCTCGGCTCTCCAGAGAAAGCAGAGCCAAGAGAAGCTGGTGGTGCAACTTGGGGAAGATGTCAGAAGAAAGAAAACTCTCCTCTGTTGGACATGTGCCCATGCTGGAGGCAGACGCACTGACAAGGGGAGGGAGGAGCCTTCACCAGTACCTCCCTCCGCCAGTCTTTGAGAAGTCTGGGGTGGGCAGTACAGTAGGGGAATGGGGGGGGGGGGGGCTCAGAACCATCCTGGGCAGGTGGCCCCTCACCGGTGCATATTCTCCACAGCCAGACAGGCCCCCCACAAAGCTGCAGACATCGTCCACTGTCCACTTGCTGACGTCCTCAGGGGCTGTGGCCTCCTCCCCATCCATGAAGAGGCCCCCCATGGTGCCTGAGTCGGGGGGAGGGTGTTACTGGGATTCTGGCCAGCTCTTTTCTATGACCCCACCCCTGTCTGCTGACCTTTGCCCGCCCTAATTATTCAGAAATGTTGGATTGATGGCTGAAAGGAACTTTTCTCCCCATGAAGACCCTCCGTGAGACCCTGGGTGGGACGTAGGAGGACTGGGCCCCCTTCCACCCCATGGAAAAATGAAGGCATGGGGGGCGGGTGCTGCCTACCTGTGTGGAAGAAGGGGCTGACAGTGTAGGGTAAGCCCAGGGGCAGTGGAGGGGGCAGCATGGACCCTGAGAGAAGTCCCTTCCCCTCAGAGCTGGCCCCTCCAGGTGGGGCTTGGCCTGGGTGGGGGACCTGGCCTCCAACAGCCACCATCTCGGAGTCCTCGCCGTCTGAGTCCTTGGGGGGTTCATCTTCAGAGCCGTCTGGTGCCCAGAGTCCAGCTCCCGTTGTCTCTTTGGACTCACTGGGCCGGCCTGAGGCAGGGCTGGGGCCCCCTTTCCGAGGAGCTCGGCGGGCAGGCTCTCGGGGTGGGGTAGGGGGCCCAGGACCCGGGGGACCCTGGGGAGGCAGGGCCAGCAGCGGCGCGGAGCTGTGTCTCAGCACCAACATGGCCCCGCGCCGCTGCAGTTCCTCGGCACCGTCCGGCGGGCGCAGGGCGGCCTCGGGCGCCAGCAGTTGCGGCCGGTGCGCGCTCTCCAGCTCCTTCTGGCGCAAGAGCTCTGCTGACATCTCCAGCCTGGCCGTGGGGACAGCCCGCAGGGGGTCAGGCAGCTCGGCAGAGCGACTTCCCGCCCCCCAACCCCCTAGCCAAAGCACGTACCGGGCCAGATTCTGCTTCCGCAGGAGCTCCTGCTGCCGGGCGAACATCTCCGCCTGGGCAGGGGGCAGGAAGCCGTAACCTGGGGGGAAGGGGACAGACCACGAGGCCGGGTGGCCGAGTGGTCCAGGGCCAGCCAAGCCCGCCCTGGTCTGTCCTTGGCTTCAACAAGGGCAGGGATGGGTTCGCCGGGAGCACTAATGGACTAATGGTTCGGTGACACATACCCGATGGCCCCACACCAACAGCCCCACCCCGCGCCCCAGGGACAGCTTCGTACACCCGCCTACTGCTCACCTGGGGTCTGGCACAGGGCCGAGGGCACCCCCAAAAAGGGGGGCCTGAGGTGGGGGCCCAGAGCGATGTGTGGGGCATTCTGGGGCGACAGCAAGGGGGGCGGTTGCGACAGCTCCCTGTGGGCGGCAGGGCGAAAGCTCCCTGTGGACTGCTAGGCCGCGCGCGCCGCAGGCTCGGGCCCCCTCCTTCCCGGAACTACCTCCCCAGCCCCCGCGGCCCCCGCTCTGGCCGCCTCTGCTAATTGCCGGCCCCGCGGGCGGTCGATGTGCGCCCGCCGCGGCTCCGGTCGTCCCTGCCCCCGCTGGCGGCGCCAATTAATCTCGGCGGCGGCGCGGAGGCGCTGGCCCGGCGGGCGGCGGCGACTGTGGCGGTAATTACCGTGCGGGAGCCCCTGGCCCCACGGCCCTGGCCCCCCTTTTACCGCCCCCGCCCAGCCCAGCCAACCCTGTGCAGACCAGGCGCAATTAGCCGTGGTCCGGGAGGCGGCGGCTGCCGCGAACACTCCCCAGGTGCAAGGGCGGGGGGGCGGGTGTCTCCTGGTGGGAGGGGCGGGGAGCAGTTAAAGTCCTCCAGCCCCCGCCCCTGCCTGGTGTCTCCCGGCCGCTACAAGCCTGGGGGGCTCTTCTGTGCAACCAACAGCTCCAGTGTCCGAGTTGGTGCTCCTGCGGGGTTCTCCCCTTCCCCAGCCTCCCCCGACCTCGACCTCGGGGCTGCCAGACCTCGTGCTGCTCCCCCTCATCTGCCTCAAGCCCCCTCACCTCCCTGTTGGGGAAGCAAAGCCCTCAGCTGTCTCAGGGGCTCCTGGATTCGGCCCCACAGCTGCTCAACAGAAAGACACCCCACCCAGAAATGTGGTCATCCCCACAGTCTACCCCACGAATGTTTCCCTGGGCCTCTGCCCGACTCAGGGGGCATTAGGTTGCTGCTGCAGAGCAGGCCGCCAACCTAGGCCCGAGCACAGCGCCAGGTACACTGAGGACCCTGTGGCTGTGTGGCTGGGATGGGGAGATGCGGGCTGTGGACTTGACCTGCAGACACCAGCTGATGAGTCTGCCACCTGCAGCTCTGTAGCCCAGAAGCCAACACAGGAAATGTAGGGGCCTCTCTGAAATGCAGGCACCCTGATACCTCTCTGAGAAGGATGGGGCGCCAGCTGGGCCGGTGCCGTCTCTGTGCTGAGCCAGGCTCTGCTTCCGACGCTGACCTGCTGTGGATGAGGGCAGGTGGACCTCCAGGCCACTGGGGCTCCTCGCGGCTGCTGCTGCCACCTCCTGTCGGACCCTCAGGAGATCTGGGGAGTGTAGGCACCAGCAGTGACCCAGAGGCCGGCCCCCACCGGACTCTCATGTCCCTCACCCTGTTGAGCATAGGACATTGGCCAAGGATGCAGAATGGGAGATTATTCTCCCAGATCCTGCTGGTTGGTCACTGGGACGGAAAGATGAGCAGACCCCAGGGCAGGGCAGATACCAGACATCCCTAGGCAAGGGGCCTGGCAGCACCGACTGGTCTTGGGAGGGGGCCCAGGTGAGCATTTATAAGGGATGTGGAGATGTTAGGAGCCAAAACGTGGTTGGGATGGAGAAAGGGAAAGGCCCGGACAGGGAAGGCTGGTGGCACAGGAACCCTGACTTCGACAGGAACTGACACTGCCAAGAGCCAAACTGCACGGCCCGTGAGGGGAGGGGTCACGCAAACGCTAGAGTGTGGGGGCAGCGGGGCTGGAGTCCAGGGGCTGGGGCAGGTCTCCAGCCCTCTCCTAGGTAACACCTCGGCTCACTGCGCAGTCTAGGCACTCTGCTCTCCACCCCCAGCCCTCCGTCCTGCTCAGGCCCGGACTTCAGAATTCCCCGCCCCGCAGCCCCCCGCTGTGCCGGCTCCGCTGCCACCGCCTGTTTATAAATTAATTACCCGAAAAGCGGAGGTGGGTCCTGCCCCGGGCTGGGTGCCAGCCCGCAGAGCCCAGCCGGCGCGGCCGCCCGCATCGATCTCGGCAGGGCCCTGCGCCCCCGCCCGCCCGCGGCCTCGGTTATTTACCGTCGGCTCCCGGCGGGGGCGGCAGGCGGAGGCCTGATTGACAGCCCGGCTCCGCGCCGCTCCTGGCGGCCGGCGCCCCTCCCCCGCACAGCCAGCGGAGCCGGCCCCAGGCAGGGCAGGGAAAGCAATTAAAAAGGAAGATTTTTAAATTATTAACATTTGGTGAATTATTCAGGCTCTCGGTGCCTGACTGCCCTGGGGGACAGTGCCTGTGTAAGGAGAGGAAATCCAGCCCCTTTTCCCAGCAAGTACCCCTCACCCAGCTCCAGCCAGGAAAGGCAAGCTACTCCGCCTGGGCTGGGGTCTGCAAGGTCAGGGTGCAACTGGACAGGGTGTCAGACGGTGCCCCTGTGGTGGTAGGGGGACTTCCAGGTGTCCGGTCTGGGAGTGGTGTTTCTGGCTGGAGCTCCTCCTGAGCACCAGTGAAAACTGGGCCACCAAACCTGAACTGTCGCCCATCCTGCTTCTGGATAGACGTCCACGTGGACGGTCAGGGGGCTGACTGCTGCTCTGCTCCTGGCCCCACCCTCCTGAGAAGGGGTCTGGCACTCTCTCACAGAGTCTCTGCTCTGACTGCAGCTGGAGTCAGGAAGGACTACAGTATCCAGACCACACCATTCAGATGGGGACGGGGGAGGGGAGGCAGGGACCCACAAGGACCTGTATGTGCTGGAGACATGGGTGGGCCTGGTGAAACCCCCACCTCCCACTCTCCCTTCAGCTCCGCCAAGCAGCTTCCTCCTCTGTGAAATGGCAGTGAGCAGTGGCCATTTGAGGCCCTGTTGGGAGAGCCTTTGGGAGACTTACTGGTGAGGGACGGCCCTTCCAACCAGATCTACCCAAACAGGCCACTGTGTTGGGCACAGGAAGGAGGTGGGCCTCACTGTCCACCTACAAGGGCTTTCAAGGTTTGAGGAGCCAAAAGACCTGCATCCAATCCCAGCCTTTGTGTCAGCAGCCACGCTTTTCAGGGTGAGCAGAGACCTAACAGGACAGGGAGAGTCCAAAGCACATCGTGGACACTCATGATGGCTTGGGGAGGGGCTACATACCATGGCTGGGGAGGCCCAGGTGGTAGAGACGCTGAGGGTCCTCAAAGGTGCTGGCCTCACTCAGGGCAGACACCAGCCGGCGGTAATGATCCTCAGGGGCCATGCTGGGCCCTAGTTCCGGAAGCAACAGAGTCTCTGAGTTGGGCAAACACAGGAGAGGGGGCTTCCCCTTTAGACACTGCTAAGGAAGAAAAACAGGGGCTCCCCTCTTAGAACCTGCTGCTGGCTGACTGTGCCCAGCAGAGGGTCCAGGCTGTCCCCCTCCCTCTCCAGTGGCTGTTCCCTCACCCCCCGGGGTAAAGCCCACACCTTGAGGAGACTTGCTTCGGGCCTTCTTCTCCAAAGGGCAGTCACTGCTGATGTGGGGGGAGCGACCCAGCCTCTTGCCCAACAGGTCACCTGGGAGAGGGCAGAGTGAACCCCGTCCTGTGTTCAGGGCTTGTAGAGGCCAGGACAGGAACAGCTCCAGCCCACCCCAATACTGGCCTCAATTCCTGCCTCAGTGCCAGCCCAGCTCCAGCTCAGCCCAGAACTATAGCTCTCATCACTCAAAGGTGCCTATGGTTCAAGCCTTGCCCAGTCCAGCAGGGTTGGGTCAGAGTGAGGGAATGGGACAGTCCAAACCCTGGGCTCTGGGCTACATGTGTGTGTATGTGATGGGAGATGCATGGTTATCGCCTCAGGCAGCAACTCAGGACCTCACAGGCACCATGCTGCTCCCACCTGCCAGATGAGCCTCCTTCGCAGAGTAAGGAGCCCTCCTCCGCACCTTACCACCCTCTCCTCCTGGGACCGAGGTGACTGACTACCAGCAGTGCAGGGTCGCATGCCAGGGTAACCCAACCTCCTCCTAGAGGCCACAGGCCCTGGAGGTCAGGTGTATCTGCCCCCATCCATTCTTCCTGGGTTCCTCCCCACAGGCCACATCCATCATTGCCCCCAGAAAGCCCGAGGACACTACCTGTCCAGCTGGGCTAAGCGCCCAAGGGCACCCCATCACCCACTGTGCATAGCCCCTCATGTGGCCCAGAGCCCACCCCACCCCTATCCTAAAGTCCTCTTTCCGATCCCCTGGAGTCGGTCTTTCTCTACCCAAGCCTCTGGCACCCTGATGTCAGGCTCCCTCCTGAGCCCAAGGTCTGGGAGGTCTCTGTGGAACAGCTCAGCAATCGTGTCAGCTTCCAGTCCAAACCCTGCACTCCTGGCCCCACTCCCTCCTCACGAGGCCATCTGGGTGAAGGGGCCACCCCCTCAGTGACCCAGGCCCACCATGACACCTCAGCAAGGGGAGCTACTGAGAAACCCTGCGGTCAGCTCCAGAGCCTAATTCCTTTTTCTTATTCCCTTAATCTGTCATTTTTATCAGGCGAGGAAGTGCAGCAGTGGAGTGCCGATCAATCTCCACTTTACAGCTGACAGAATGGTGCTAATAACTTATTGATCTCAGCCACCTCCTGCCACTGGCCTGGGCCCAGTGGCCTAGCCCCAGACCTTGCCCTGAGAGGGATGAGGATGCGGTCCCCACTGCCCAGACAAAGGGTCCTACCTTAGTGACCTGGTAGGATGGGTAGGGGGTGCTCAACCAGCATGAAGCCCCTGAGGAAGGCAAAGAGCCTCCGGCCAGCAGCACCACCAGGACTGCAGCATCCAGCTGTGCCAAGCCTGGGGAGGGCTGAGTCCACATCTGCTGCCTGCACCCCACCCTGCATATACCCCCTGGGGACCCAGCGAATACCCCAGGGCTTCCACTTCCCTTGATCCAGTTCTCATTCTCCACAGTGGGAAGACCCCCTCCCCTTCCTCTTGGGGGGTGATGGCTCCTCTCTGCCTGGCAGAGGTGCTTGGGAGGGGGTGGCAGGCGGGCCCACAGTGAGACCCATGCCCACTGTCATAAAGAGGTCCTGCCATGGAGGTCCGGGGCTCACCAGTCCCTGATGAGGGCCGCATATACTCACAGACACACACACAGTAAGGAGATGTCTGCAGGGCCCACCGCGAGCCCAGTCCCCCCTGACCCCTCCTGCTCAGGTGAACACACGGCTGACACGTGCTCCTGGGGAGGAGGAGGTGAGCACCGGCCAAGGCCTCCACCCAGGGGCTGGCAGAAAGACATGGAAGCTGATGAGGACTAGAGTCCCAAGAAGAGGGCAGGACCTGGATGAAACCTGGACACAGGACACACTTGGCACTTCACACAGATCATGTGTGACCCGTGAAGTGCTCATATGTGGGTCCTGTACCTCTGCAGGAAGACAGTGAGGGCACTTTGACACACACGTGTCACACGGGCGTAAGTGGAAGCCCAAACTTTTGGCTAGGCCAGGGGCACACACACACACACACTCAGGCCAGGCACCATGAGGAGGTCTCTGCGTGTGCAGGCAGCAGGGGAGCCCGCTGGCTCTGAATATCTCAATCACTGTGGGACTCTGGAGGCTCACCCGATCGATGGGGCAATTAGATTTTTATCAGCCGCCTGCTCAGAGCCTCTAACTTGGCTCCAGAAGCAGCAGCCCCCCACCTCCCACAGAGGACTACCCAGCCATTGGCACACCTGGAAGGCCTGATGGGGGTACTCAGGGGTCCCAGGATGGACCACCCCCTGCCCAGCTTTCCTGAAAGCTGCAGCCACTGCTGGGAACTTCCTGGGTCTGCCCTGGTCCATAGGGCAGCAAGGGACCCCTGCCAGCTCCTCTTGGCACCCAGAGCCCCCTTCAGCCAAAGCTCAGCAAGCTGCCCCCTCCCTCCGAGCTCTTGTTGCCTCCAGGAGCTAGCCCTCCACGGGGACAGAGCCCCAGGCAAGCATCCTCCTGCCCCAGCCCCTCTCCTCTCAGGACGTGGACCCTTCTCTCCCAGGGGCCCTGGCTCTGGGGTCGGTGTGTGCAGAGCACATCCCTGCCCATCCAGGAGCCATGCCCAGGTGTGTGCCTCCATGAGGCCTGTGCTCCCTGACTGTCCTGCCTCCATCTGCCCCTGAAAGCAGGGGGTAGCTGTGGCCTCTGGCCACTCCAAGCCCACCCCAGCAGCAGCCACAGTGGAGCCACCGCCTCCGCCTCCTGTCTGCCCGGCTGGCTGGGATTAACACAATTACCATCACACGGAGCCCCGGGGGACAGCCGGCTTCGCCACCTCCCGCCTCCTCCGCTGGCCTCCCTGGCTGCCCGCCAAGGCTGCTGGGGGTGGCGGCATCCAGAGCCGCTGAGCAGAGACGCAGGGAGGCTGCGAGGCGGCTGTCCTCACGCTGCTCTGCGCAGCCTGGCAGCCCTGCTTCACCTAGCACTGCCCTGGCTCCTCACCTGCGGCTCCCAGGCCTATTTCCACGCTGCCTCTCTGGAATTCACAGCGACTCTGATGCTCAGGCATAACGAGGTGGCGGCTGCGATGCACGCTGGATATGAGGGTGGGAAGGTCGCTGTCCTGGCTGCAGCGAAGCAAGACAGGGAAGGTGAGACCCCTCGGGGCTCCTGGCTGAGCCTGAGTGTGAGCATGCATGGCCCAGGGGACGCTGAGTGTGACAACACCTCGTGCACACCATTTCTGTGAGCACCTCCATCTCCTCGTGGGTGCTGGAGTCTCACCCTAACCTACGCAAGCCCCACCTGGGACCACCAGGACCTGCTAAGTGTCTGCTAAACACAGCAGCCTTGCACTTAGACCCCACTGCTGCTCCCAGGGAGGGTCCGTGTGGAGTGCAGGGCTGGCCCCATCTGGACTCTGTTCTCTGCAGAGAGACCAGCCACTGTCCTTGCTTCTTGCTCTGGGGCAGCCAGGTCCCACCAGGGACGGCAGAAGGCTGCCAGAGAGGACACGTGGACCCAGCACTTGCTCCTGCAAACATGCTAGTGCAGCTAAAACTTCCAACCACCCACGGACTCTGTTTTTTCAAATACAGAAACCAAGGATGAGACCAAAATCTGTAGCCAATGAGGTGTGTGCCCATCCAGGGACATACATGGGTGTGCACACACACACTCACACAGACCTGCAGACACACACAGACACAGATGCACACAGCAGTCACCAGTGTGCCTGTGCTAAGGACACTCTGCTCTTCCCAGGGCTCCCCACCAAGAACCTTGGGATAAACAGGAATTTAATTTCGTTCTTTCCTTGCTCTTCCTGTTAAATCAGCTCACTGCCTATATCACAGAACCCCAGACAAAAGAGGGAGGGAATGGCCCCCACGGCATTTGCCCTTGGGGTTCTGACAGCATCTCCGTTAGCACAGAGAAGGGCCCCTGCCACCTTGCAGACTCAGTTGGAGTGGCAGGAAGTCGGTCGGACAGGACAGAAGAGGAGCAGGGAGGGACCCCAGCCCACCCTGCGGCACATCCCTCCCCAGCACCCTTGCTCCCCAGCCCACCTGTAATGGAGCAGCCTCCTGGCTGGGCCACCTCAAGGGGGGCCTCCACCAAGTGACCTGGGAACCAACCCTAAACCTCATTAAATAACCCCCAGGCACCCCGCCCCCCCTGCCCCCGCTCTGGCCGGGGTGGCCAGAGCAGGCTAATCCAGAGCTGGCCCCTAAGCAGATCAGTTTCAGCACCAAAGCTTCCAGGGCTGGGCTCTAGAGCTCTGAGAGACCCTGATGCAAGCTCTGTCCCCACCCCCAACCCCTCTCCCTGGAGGAAAGAAGGCCCCCCCACCACCCCCCACCATGCAAACAAGAGGGCAGGTGGGGTGGGAGTAAGTACTTTATGGGATTAATTGGCAGCAATTCTCATCCTCTCTATCATCCTCATCAATGCGGGGGGCGGGGGTGGAAGAGAGAAATGCTGTCCTCAGCATCAGGGAGGGGTAGGGGTGCCTAGTGCCAGGACTGCTGCTGCCACAGAGTTCTCTCTTGAGAGAACCTCCTTTTGGCGTTCCCAGGACTCCTGCAGGAAGTGGGCCAACCCCCAGAGACTTAAGGTGGGGTCAGGCCCATTCATTTGTTTCCCGTGAATCCTCAGCTGAGTGCTTATACAGGGAGTGGGGCTAAGCGCTCACCACCACTGTGGCCAGTAACTCTTTGAGCTGGTCACTCAGACACTCAGGTAGTGCTGCCGCTCCACGGAGGTGATGCTGCAGCTCTGCGGAGGTGATGCCTTGTGGGAATCAAGACACAGGCCACACATCAAACCTCGGCTTCCTGCCTTAGGGGCTTGACCCATGAGGTCCAAGACAGCATGGCCTGGCCCCAGAAAACCTGTGTGGTCACTCGGTTGTTCACTGAACAAATTATGCTGGGTTTTATGTAAAGAACCATGGAGAGGGCTTCCCTGGTGGCTCAGTGGTAAAGAATCTGCCTGCCAATGCAGGAGACACAGGTTTGATCCTTGGTCTCGAAGATCCCACATGCCATAGGCAACGTGTGCCATAACTACTAAGCCTGTGCTCTGGAGCCTAGGAACTACAACTGCTGAGCCCATATGCGGCAGCTACTGGAGCCTGCACAGCCTAGAGCCCGTGCTCTGTAGCAGGAGACGCCACTGCACTGAGAAGCCCGAGCGCTACAACTAGAGAGTAGCCTGTATAACCAAGACCCAGCAGAGCCAAAAATAAGTAAATAAAATTATTATTTTTTTAATGTGTGAACCATCAGACTCTTTCTCCCCATGATGGACCCCTCCAGTGCATGGTATACTGTCCAGTCCTTGTCCATCTCCTGGCCAGCTCAGGGGCCTCAGGAGAGCAGGGCCCACATCTCCTGCCTGCTGCCCTGGATGCACGGGGCTTAAGGGGGAGCTCCAACCGGGCAAGTGGTTACAGCAGACTCAGGCAGACAGAGGGATGGGGGCGAATGCATAGATGAGTAGAGCTGAGGGACAGACAGACAGATGAAGACTGAAGGATGAAGTCAGATGACTAGACAGATGGAGATGGCCACACAAGGACAGACACTACTGGATAGACAGAAAGGCTGGAAACAGCAGACAGACAGATGGACAGAGCCTGAAGGACAGACAGCAGACTCGAGACAGAAAGACACACGGACGGGGCCAACAGGAGCCGGGAAGAGACAGAGGCAGAGCTGAGGTGGGGGTGTGTGAAGCAGCTGCGCTGTGGGCTTGCTCAGCCCTCCCTGGCCAGACGCTGGGGTGCCGCAGCAGGGCGATGTGGGGGGCAGATGGGCTGTAAGTCTTCTTGGCTAACCCCCCAGTCTCCCCTCTGGTAAAATCCAGACAGTCATCGCAGCTGTTTGGAGGGTCCACCACACTCTGGGACCTGGCCTCTTACTGTGTCTGGACACCCGGGCCCTCTCCCATGTCCCACGGCCGGCTGGGGTGAGCAGGGGGCTGCAGGCAGGGAAACAGCAGCCTGGGATTCCCCTACAGGCCTTACTGACAAATTTCTCATGTAGCTTCCCAAGTAAAAGACTCATAAAATGTCATCAACGTTCATGACTGTTCATAAAAATGATCAGTTGAGCCGGCAACTTCAAAATGAGGTGGAAATAAGTTTAAAGACGTTTTCATTGTAATTTGGCTCCAGGACCTAGACATTCTCAGAAGTATAAATAATAACACATCTGGCACAGAGCCAGGCTGCGAGAGGGGCCCGAAGGCACTGGATGCCCACTGCCTGCTTGGCTGGGCCTGTCTTGTGCCTTCCCTGGAAGCCCTGGGCTAAGACTTGATCCCACTGACCAGACACCACAGCCAGGGCTCCATCGTACCCCTCTGAGACGGGGGACTTGGGTCTCCCCAACACCCCCAACGTCCACATCAGGTCTCCCCATTTTTATCTCCTTACTATGGCTTTAATTTACAGCCCCTCCACAGACTGGAGCAAACCCCCAACCTGCTGGATGGGGCCTACAGCAGGACCTTGTCAAAGCATACACCAACCACTTCTCTGCTCAAGAGCTTTCAATGGCTCCCCGTTGCCTGAAGGCAAATGCCCAACAGGCCCAGTATCTAAGGCCCTTTAGCACCAAGTTAAGCCAGGCCTGCCAGCTTCCCCTCCTCCCTTTCCACACCCCCTTCCCTCATTCCTCCATGTCTCTGTAGACACCCCCTTTCCCTAGTGAGCTCCTATGTATCCTTCAAGACCCCACTCACACATCACCATTCTCACATTCTGTTAGGTCTCGGAGAGTGAGAGGGGGCAGGCATGGCCTTATCTTTGGGCAGATGGGCTCAAATGTGAGAGGGGGAGCACACTCTGGCTTCAGGGCTGGGCCCAGAACCCATCTCTGCTGCTGTCACAGTTTAGGCACAGGTCAACAATAAACCATGGATCAAGGAGAGGAGGAGGGGAGGGAGGCTGGAGGGATTTAGAGTCAGAACCAAAGAACATGGAGCGACAAGGCTCTGTGCTGCCCACGCACAACATGTAAGGGAAGCCGGGCCCAGGCCCGGCCCTACCTGCAGGACGTCTCTCGGAAGGAGATGTTCACGTCCCAGTGGGTGTGGACTCTGCAAGGAGAGAAGCAGAGGGTCAGTGTGGCCTCCAGGACTCAGCATGTGGACAGCAGAACATGTATGTGGCATGCCCTGTGTCTGCCTTGGAGTGCCAGCCTCAAGGGAACTGGGCTGGCTCAGAACCACCTCTAGCATCATCTGGTACCAGCTCAACATGTTGGCGGCTGCCGCCAGGACAGACCCACAGGGCAGGCACCTGCTCCAGGGCTTGCCAGACAAGGAATTGGGAAGGACAGAACTGAGGTCCCACGTCTCTGCCTCTTGTTGTGGTGGAGCCAGCAGAGCCCCCACTTGTGCAGGGGTGGGGGCGTGACTTCCTCTGCATGTGCCACTTGTGTGACTGAACCCAAATTCCTAGTTGCTAGAGCTGCTCTGGGGGTGCTGGGAACCAGGTCGAGGAATGAACCCCATGGCCACCACCACTGGCTCCGATGGTGGTCCTTGGCTCCCAGCTGCTGCCAAGCCGCCTCCTGGAAGTGACAGTCACACAGCAGAGGTATGAGGGGTCAAGCAAGGAAATAGCCCTGTGCTGTGCCCACCCTCTCACCCACAGCAGTGTTCCTGAGAAGACCCATGGGCTGAGGGAGGGTGGTGGCAGGCCCACGCGGTGCTTTCCATCAGCACAGGTGGGAGTAGAGGCTGGGAGCGGGGCTCTCTGGTGTCCAAGAGGGTTAGGGTAGGAGAAATTAGAATATATTAAAAGCAGGAAAAATGCCTGGAAATTCTGGGGATAGATATGACATGCTGGACAGACAGACAATGGATGGACAGATGAATGGATGGATGAAAAAAGAGGTGAGTGGGCAGAGGGAGAAGCTTCTGCCAGGAGGGAGGGGAGAAAGGAGGAGGTCAGGAATGGTGGCCCCAAACCTGAGGGAGGCAGTAAGGAGCCAAGGGAGTGGCCACTCCGAAGAGAGTGAGTGTGAGTGTCAGGGGTGCTCCCATGAGGATCCACGCAGCTCCCTCCTCCCTGCCTGGCTGTGGTGGCATGAGACTCCTCCAAGAGCCTTTCTCCTTCCTCAGCCCAGCAGCTCTGGCCCTCCCTGGCCCTTCCCCACACATGGGCCCTCCCTGGCCTGCTCTGGCCATGACTATTGGTGGTGCCTGCTCCTCAATGATGCCACTGAATCCTGGCCTGGCACTCGGCCGCCAGGTGGGGGCAAGGCAGGTTCACAGTGGTCCTGAGGCATGTCCCTGGGAGTCCAGGCTTTGTTTCACCTGCGGCAGCTGTCAGTGGCCACGCAGAGGATAGAAGCTAAGCTGGGCCCCTGTCCTCAGGGCAAAGGCTCTCCACCTCTAGGTCTGACCTGGCCTTCCACTGCCTGGAGATCCCAGTCCTGAAGTCCCCACCCAGGCCAGAGCCTGCGTGCCCTCCCCTCCTGGTCCCTGAAGCACCTTCTCTTCATGATATGGACATGCGGCTCGTTCTCCTGCTTCAAGCCCAGCCGCTGCCCACAGGCCGGGCCACTCCCGTCACTGTCGCCATCACTGGCTGAGAAGCTGGGGGTCAGCTCCTTCTTCAGGATCCGGGCAGGGGGCAGGGCAACTGTCCTCTTGTCTGCCAGCCGCCCCCGGTTCTGGACAGGGAGGGAGGAGAGGAAGGTTAGGCCAAACCATGTTGCTCAGCCTCCTGGGCACCCCCACCTACAGCAGAGAGGCCTCCAGCCCTCCAGGACACTCACAACTGGCCAGAGGCCAAGACAAGAGCAGAGAGCAAGGCTTCCTTCACAAACCCGTCCAGAGACTGCCTTCCACTCCATCCTGGTGGGGGCCCAGGAGTAAGCGTATGGGCACTGCCCTGTCCAGACTCCACACTCGGCCCAGCCCCTCCACAGGTGCTCGGCTTGTGTGTGGACGCCTGCTGGGCACCAACCTGGCGTTCCCAGCCCCTAAAGGGCTGCGAGCACCCACAGGACGCGTGTGTCCTGACTGCATGCAGTTACCTCTGCATGCATGTCTGCCTGGCAATCCCACTCAGACTCTGTGTGAACCCCTACCCATGCCAAGCCTGCTTTCGATGCTCAGTGCCAAATGAAGCCCAGCTCAGGAGTGTCTGAAGCCTGGAGTCTGGGGCTGACCCCTTGTAAATTGCAGACCTTTGGCTCACAGGTCACCTGGTAGCCAAGGCCCTTTGTCCTGTGCATCCTGGGGGGACCCATCCCCTTGGTCAGGAACTACGAGATTCAGAGTTTTTCTACGAGGTGCACCTTTCCCCTGCCCTGCACCCGCAGTGTGAGCAGGGAGGGCCATAGAAGGGCCCAGAGCCTGCACACGTTTTGGCAGCTCATGCCAAGGGCCCTGCATAGCATGGCACCTGCTGGTGTCTGCAGGTCCCGCCACCCCAGGGAAGAAGAGCTCCCGTTTTCTGGTGGGCTGGAGGTTTTTTCTTATTTAATAACTACTGGTTCAGGATGGTGGCAGGGACCTTGGAATTATCTAATTCTCTCTCATCTTTTCAGTGACTGAGGCCTTCTAGGGCTCCTTCCTCCTGTTGCTAGGACAATGTGTCCCCATCATACGCAGGAGCTTGGGGAGGAAGGTATCCAGGGGGCTTTCATCCCTCCCCACACAGTGTCCCCCTGGATCAGCAAGGCAGCTGTGTGCGGCCGCCACAGCCCTAGTCTCCAGAGGAGAGGTTCTCTTCAGATCCAGACCAGCCCCACCTCCAGACACATGGCCCACCCCAGTCCCAGATTTGGGCAGTGCCCCTGACAGGGTCAGGGAGCCACAGTCTGCCACACCTGCCCTCACAAATCCACCCAGGATGGAGAAGGAAATGGCAACCCACTCCAGTATTCTTGCCTGGAAAAGTCCATGGACAGAGGAGCCTGGCGGGCTGCTGTCCATGGGGTTACATGACTGAGCATGTGTGCACAAGGGTGGAGGGAGATGGGTTGGTAGCAATAAAGTGGTAGAACTAAAAAAAAGAAAAGAAAAACAAATCCACCCAGGAGGTGCCCCAAGGTCCTCCCTTCAACACAAGTCCAGTGAGAGACCGGGCAGCACTGGGGAAGGTGGGGTGGAGGGAGCAGTGAAGTTGGGAGTAGGCCTGCAAGACGAAAGGGGGTCCCCCCCCACCCCGTGCTTCTAAGACCCTGGCCTTGGCTCCAAGCTAAACCAGTGGCAGCAGAGCTTCAGTGAGGCAGGGAGGTGGAGGGGGTGACCGACCGGGCCCCCTGCCTCTTCCGGCCAGGCTCTGGGGGGCAGGGTTTTCAACAGCTCTGGCCTGTCTGGAGTGGGCTTGGCTGCAAAGCCCCTCAGCTCTGCCCTTCTCCAGCCTGCTGTAGGCCAAGGACCAGGACCTCCTTTCCTGCCTTTCTGTTTTAACTAAACTATTCTCTGAAGAAAAAGTTTTCAGTGCACTTCCCTTTCCTTCTCATCTATGGGACAAGGATGAGAGGGAAGCAGAGCAGTAAGGCTGCCACTTGGGTAAGGCCATACCAGGTACGGGGGCCTGGAATGGCTCTGGTAGTGGGGAGTTAAGGAAGAGGGACCAGGATGAGCAGTTCTGACCTGAACCAAGGACAGGGACACATCTGCCTCCCACACACACCACAGACCTCAGCTGCTGACCCCTGCTCAGCACACAGATTTCAGAATTGGGTGCGCTAAGCCCCTGTCCCAGCCAAGCACTGGCTCCTCAGACAGCAAGGGTGGGGCATGGAGGCCACAGCATGACGCCAATGCTGTGAGCACACTCATATTCTGAGACTGTGGAGTGTGCACGTTATCTGTGGACCTGGCCATGGGCAGTAGTGGAAAACAGCCTGTATGAAAAAGGTGGGGGCTGAAAAGACAAGGGGGTCCATGAAACCTTCCTAAGGGAGAGGCACGGGGATGGCCTGGGAGCGACCAGGCTCTGGAGAGGCAGGCCCAGGTCTGAGCCGTCCCTCATGCAGGGCAGGGGCCTGGGAGCCCCTGACAGGCCCTGACAGGTAGGCAGCCCTGGGCTATGGGCCCAACCTGGCCTTCCCATCAGGAAATGTCTTAGAGGGGACTGATGCTGGGCTCAGGCCACCTGCCTATGCCCTCCTGTGGGAGACCTTCAGAAGGGAATGGTGGGAGAGGCAGGGCTCCTCCCACCAGCAGAGGCCCCAGACCAGCCTGGAGGGTGTCCTCTCTGGCACCAGCTGCTTGAGAAGTGAAGGGGAGTTCAGCTTCCTGCCCCAGGCAGGTGTGGTGGCTTTGGGCAAAGGTAGGCTGCCTGTGCACATGCTCTGTCTGGGGGGCTCTGCATGCAGGCTTGCCTGTGAGTACAATGAGCTCGAGCCAGACAGTGTGTGGGGTGGGCAAGTGGGGAGGCTCAGCTGTGTCCCCTTCCCCTGCCCAACCTGTGTGTCTTTACAGGCTTGTCTGTGGCTTCCTGGCTTGCCCACCCCCAAGGCCCACCAGGAATGCAAGACTTCCCCCACCCCCTCCCTACCACCAGTCCAAAGTAAACAAGCTGAAGGCTGCCTGCAGGGTCCTTTCAGGCCTTCCTGGCAGAGGGGGTTGCTGAATGGTGCCAGGAGCCGTGGTCCTCATGGGCTCTCCCACAGAAGCTCAGACTGTCCCTCTCAAGACAAGATTTTCAGATGGAGCCTCCAGCCACTGCTGCCTGGAGGGCATGCGAGAGGGAAGGCAGTAGTGCTTCAGGGCAGGCACAGGCCCCAGCTCTCCTGCCCTCCTCACCCCCCCAGGCTAATGAGGGCTCAACAGACTTCTACACTGGGTTGGAGGTCCCACACCAGCTTCCAGCTGCAGTTCTCTTGACACCAAGGCCCACACTGCACCTACTGTGCCCCAGACCAGGCTGTATCCTCAGACACTCCTGGACATCCCTGGCCTTGTCCCACAGGGCTCCAGTGCTAGGCATCCAGACATGCAGGTCACTCACATCCAAGCCTGTGGCCACCCCAGAATGCCCATAAAGGCTGGCCAACACTGTCACGTCCTGTAACAAGTGTCCCCTTAGAACCAGCTCCTCTCCCAGGCTGGGCCAGCTGACATGGTGAAACCGCATTCCCCCCACACCCCACACACACACCTGTAACAAGGCAAAGTCCCCAGGCCCCGATCAGATGACACTGTCCAGGGAGGAGTCCTTCACACCACGGGCTGTCCCCAGGACCTCAGGAGAAGCAGCTCCCGGGCTCCCAAAGACAGGCTTCAGGATAGGCAGGGCCCTGCCCTGAATCAAGGGGGACGGGGTCTGACGCCCCAGCATACCCACCAAAGCCGTCTCCTCTATTTGCCCCTGAGGGCTCCCTCCTGCCCACTGGCAGGGTTGAGGTTAGGACTGATTCTAGAAAACAGAGGCCAAGCTCCGCAGCAGAGAAACAAGACCCTGAAGCCCCAGGTTTTCTCCCACATCTCACCACCGGGGAGGATATTCGACAGCCGGGACAGTCGCAGATCGGAGGATGCACCTGCAGGATCCCCTTGGACATAAGCGTCTTCAGACTTTTCCCTGCGAGGAGAGCCGAGGCAGGACCGGTAAGGGAGCGGGACCGGGCACAGGTCGGGCCGGGCACGCGGGCATGCTTCCGGGGCGCTGCCAGGGGCAAGGCCGGGTTCCCTCCCGCCACCAGTATGAACACCCGCCTCCGTCCAACTTCCGAACCCACACCCGGCCTCGCCGCCCACCCCACCCTCGCAGACGTTGCGGGGATCTGCAGAGCTCGGAATTCAAGATCCGGCGAGCGCCCTCCCCTGACGCAGGGCGGTCTCTCCCCCCACCTCCCCCGCCTCCGCGCGCCCCTCCTCCCGCGCTCCACCCTCTCCTAGCAGGTCCGCGGGAATCCGGAGCTGGACCGTGGAGGTCGGGCCCGGCGCAGGTGAGCGGCGCGGTCAGGACCCGGGACTGCGCTTGACCCCGAGGAGCCATGAGCCCTAGAGTCGACGAGCGTGATTGGGTCCCTAACTTTCTAACTATCCCCCACCCCCAGCCTGGCGCTCACCCCCTCTCCCTCCGCATGCCCGCTCTGGCGCCCACACGTCGCGGCCTTGGAGCCAGACTCCTGCAGGAGCCCTAGAGACTGCTCCCAGCCCCGCCGCCACTCTGCTCCGCGCGCTCCCGTCCCGACGCGCGCCCCCGCAGCCCCCACCTGCCTGCGCCACCCATGCACCTTGCCGTTCTCTCTACCAGCGCGCGTCCGCACCCGGCCTCACTTGTGCCCCTCTACTCCTCCAGAACCCGTGGCTCCTCGACCCCGGAGGGGAGTATCCTGCCGAGTCGGCCTCCCGCCCGCTCTCCCGAGTTCCCGTAAACTTCCCCGGAGCCTGAAGGCCCAGGAATCCCGCAAAGACCTTCCGGGCAGAAAGAGCCGCCGGCTCTTGCGGCCAGCGCTGGGGGGACCACGGAGGCCGAGGGCGCTCAGCCCGGGTCCAACAAGGCGACCGTGCTTGGGGGAAGGGGGTGTCCCTGCGGCGGCCCCAGAGTCGCAGCGCCCTCTCTAGGCAGAACTGGAGTCTCCCAGGTGGCAGAACGAGGGGGATCCGGACCCACGGGTCCTCAGGGAGCGGAGGGGAGGGACCGGAGCGGTCCGCGCCCCCACGGCGGCCGCACCTTTGTGGCGGATGCTGCGTTTCCAGTCCTTGGCCGTCTCGCGGCCGCTGACAAACTGGAACTCGTTGGGTGTGAGCCACTCGCCGCGGTGGCGGATGGACGGACCCTTGCTGCCCTGGCAGAGTTTGCGCACGTAGAGCAGCGCGCGGTTGGCGCCGCACTCCACCTCGATGCAGGGCTCGCCGTTGTCCAGCAGCGGCTGGAAATCCGGTGCCGCGGCCGCAGTGGCCGAAAAGCGCTCGAGGGCCAGAGGGTCTCTGGGCAGGTGGAGGTGCGGGGCGGCCTCATGCAGGCTCAGGTAGGCGCGAGGGGCACGGAGCGGCGGGGCCAACAGCGCCTCGTAGCCCGCTGTCGCGGCTGGTAGCGAGGCGGCCGGGGGCAGGGCGGCAGCGGCGGGCAGTGGCGCCAGGTAGCCAGGCAGCGGCGGCAGTGGCAACGCTGCCAGGGTCGGGTGGAAGGTGGCCAGAGCCAGAGCGAGGTCTTCACGGCCGGGTAGCTCCTTCTTGACCGCCGGCATGGTGGGCCTGTGTTCCTGCAGCCTGGCCCTCCGCCGCCGGCGCAACTTGTTCCGGCCCGGGCTGGAGTTGGGTCTCGAGGGCCGGGGCTCAGGAGCCTCCTGGCTGCACACCCGCCCTCCCCGCTACTGCGCTCCAGCCGGGCCACCTCGGACCGCTGCCCGTCCGGCTGGCAGGGCCTCTGCCGCCCGAGACATGGTGCTGCCGGAGCTCTATCGATCCCCGAACGACCTGCCCAGCGCCGCAGCTCCAGGGCCTTGGGGCTCCACCGGGCGCTGGGCCACCTGCGCCCGCGCCCCCTGGGGCGGCCCGGCGCCCGGCTTTAGGAGGTGGTGGTGCGGGGGACAGATGCCAGCGAGTCGCGGCGCACACAGCCGGCGACACTGTTGAGGGAGTCACTGTTTGGGCGCCCCAGTCAGAGTCCCGGAGTCCACGTGGGGCGAGGGCTGGCTCCTTGCGAAAGAGCGTATCCGGGATCGGAATTGCAGCTTTCCTGGCGGGTGCTTGTGAGCCAGCAGCTCTGGGTAGGTGGTAGGAATCAGTGCGGAGGGCGTGAGTGGTCTCCTCGGGCGTCTGCAGGGTGTGCGCTGTGGCTTTGTGGTGTGTGGTCGCGGAAAATGTGTTGGGGAAGGTTTGTGGTCTGTGAATTAACAACGATAATTCTATCAATAACTGCCCCCCTTACCATGCACTTCACAAGCCTTAGTTCACCTGATCACCTAATATGAGTTTATTTATTATATTTATTTATTTAACACCCAAAGAGTCTTTATTTTACAGATGAGGAAGGGCGGGATACAAAACGGCCAAGTAACTGTCCTGGTGTCACACGGTTGTTTCAAATCCAGGCTGTCTGCCTCCACAACAAACAGCATGGGGTAGGGCAAGGAAGTGGGGCTAGAGGCAATCTGGGTGGAGGGTGGGGTGTGTGGAGAGGAGGAGAGGCAGCTGAATGTGGGACTGTGCACTTGAGCATATTTCTGTTACCTACCACGTGCAAGTCTGAGGATGAGGGACCTCTGCATCCATGTTCACCTCTTCCTCCAGCCTTGGTCTAGCCCTGAAATGAGGGGGGTTGTCCCCTGGGATCAACCCATACCTCCCTGCTGCAGTTTGGCATGGTGGCCCCGCGGTGGGATAATTAGGAAGAGAAACTGAGAAACTCAGTGGCTTTGATAGTACTTGGTGAGACCTTGTATTTCTCGGGTGTGCCATTTTGGACAAGCTGGAAAGTAGCTTCAGCTCCCAACTCTGCTCTCAGACCCCTGCCCGTGCCCCTCTGAGATGTACCTGGTGGGGCACCCATATGAGCAGGGGGTGGGTGGGGGTGGGAGTGAGCTGGATCATGGGAGTGCTTGCACCTTCTGCAAGGGTGGGCTGGGAGTGAGGGAAACACTCCACCCCTACTCCCCAGGGGCCTCCTGCCAGATGCCAGCACTAGCTGGGCATGTGGCTGACTATTGGGGACCCCTGTGCTGATGTACACTGCTCACCTCATTCTCAGCTAAGGTATCAGCCCCAAGACCAACCTGGGGAGTGAGGTCTGGGCTCAGACCAGGAATGTGTCTGGGAACTTCCACTCCTTTACTTCTTGTATATTTATTTGTGGGGGTTTAAGGGGTGGGTGGCAAGATGGGTGTGAATGTGAGTGACCCCTCCTTACTTCACTACGCTTGGCCCCATTGCTCTCTTTGTAACCTGGACTCCTGCATATACCTGACCCCAGGAGTGACAGCCAGGGAGCTCCTCCCACACCCAGCCTCTGTGGTCTATGTCTTGTTCTCAGGTGTGAGGCTCCATGTCTAATGGATGTAGGAGGCTGTCCTCACCTGAGCGCCAAGACCCACGGGGAGCTGTCATGTTAATCTGTGGTCATAGCTCGATATGGAGAGGCCAAGTAGAATGAGCCTGTTTGGCTACAGCCCTGACCCAGCTGCCAAAAGACAGCCTCCGCCCAGCTCTTCTAATGTTTGCCTGCACCTGTCCACTGAGCCTCAGGCCTCTTAACCCCTGACCTTCACACTGTGGTCTGGAGAAGGGAGGCTGAAAGCTCATCTCTGGATCTGAGAAGATACCAGGCAGCTGTCTCTCCTCTGTCCTGAGTCTGAGCAGGGGTCTTCCCAGGACCACCCTTCACTCATCCCTGGCCTCTTTCGTCACACATGTGCCCACAGTGGTTAGGAGTGCCACGGGGGACCCCACCTGTGGCTGTCAGGGAGAGGCCCAGCTGGCAAGGTGTGGGGCTGACCTACCGGACCCAGCCTAACCTCCATGCTGCCATCTGGCTCCAGCCTTCGTTGGAGGACCAGGGTTCCCTTCTGAAAACACGATGACTGGGTCCAGAATTCCCTGCAGGACCCCCCTCCTCAGGGGGCCACTCTTGACTCCAAGGAGACATCTTCCAGGGGTTCTCCAGGGTCTTGACTGATCAGGGCAGTTCACCCCCGCCCCCACATATTTCCCCCTGTTCTTGGGAAATAGAGCCTTCTGCCCACGGGGCCTCAGAGCAGCTTTCCCCTGGGGGACCAGGTATCCTCACCCTGGCTGTCATAGCCTTCCCAGAAGGATCTGCTCCCTTCCTCCCGCCTGTCCACTTGTGTCCGTCTGGCGCCTGAACCCTCACGTTCCTCAGCACTTCTCAGACTGGAATCAGGCCAGAGGGACAGAATTCTGGCGTTGGGTTCCCTGCCACCTGGCCCTCAGGCTTGGCGACCCCGCGGAGAACGCAGGTGGGGTCGGCGGCTGCAGCTCCTCCTCTAGCCCGAGGAGGCCCCGCCCCCGCACGCCGGCCTCCGCGGCGCTGTCGCTTCTCGAGGTTCCCCCGCTCGGGGCCCTCCGCTGCTGCTGCCGCCTGCCGCCGCCGCCGCCGCCGCCGCCGCCAGGGAGGGAGAGGGGGTCATAAATAACCCGCGGGGCGGCGCGGCCGGCGGTGCAGACGGTGACCCGAGAAGTCCCCAGGGAGCGCGGGGGCGGCCCACAGACCCTGATGCCCCCAGCCCAGGCTCTGCCAGCCTTGATCGCCCGACTGGCTCTGCCCGGCCGGTCCAAAGCTGGCGCTCGCTCCCATCCTAGAATGCCCGCCTTCCTCCCCTCCAGACCACCCCCTCAGAGCCCCCTTTTCATCCATTCCTTCACCAATCAATCACTTATTGAGTACCAGATGTGGTAAAACCCCAGGAAGAGAGACCTAGAGGTGAGGCTGGAAGATACAGAAGAAAGCAGTGGGTCGCTGAGACCACAGGTGCAGGGGTACCATCAGCCTCCAGTTTTCCTGTGTTCACCCCGGGTACCTTAGAGGGTAAGAGAGCAGGCCCAGACCCGCCCAGACAGGAAGGCATGCCAGGACAGATCACAGGGGCCCCACAGGTGTGGGCACAGCCTCACACACATGCCCACACAAGCACCCACAGCAACCAACAGATCCATGCCTTCTCAAAGGCATACAGACAGCAGCCCACACGTGTGCTCACACCCACACGCACACACAGCAGCTCCCAAAGCTGCTGGCACAGGACAGGTGCAGACACGGATGCTGACATCCTCAGCTCAAATATGCACAGACGGTGTGTGTGCTAACTTATATATGACAGCCAAAATGGAAGACACCACCAGGACCTATGCACGAAACATACATAGACACATGGGCCTGCAGCCTGAGTGCCAGATGGATACCGTTGTCATGTCTAAGACAGCTTGTCCAGTTAAAGGGTCTGGTTTGCAGCACCATTCCATCAGGAAGGGGTAGATGGGAGGTCAGAGGTGAGTGGCACAGTGGCTCCCTCAGACACCCCTGCAGAAATGGTCAGAACCTTCAGGAAGCATCTGTTCCTGGTTCCAGGTCAGATAGAGGAGGGGCCACCCTGCTGGGACATGCCTCGCTGTTGGCCAGCTGTGAGCTGGCGGCAGGCCATGCTGTCTCTCTTTCAGGAAAGTAGGTGTTTCTGAGGCTGGACTGTCCACTGACCTTTTGTTGTTGTTGTTCAGTCGCTAAGTTGCGTCCAACTCTCTGCGACCCCATGGATTGCAGCATACCAGGCCTCCCTGTTCCTCACCGTCTCCCAGAGTTTGCCCAAGTTCATGTCCTTTGAATCAGTGTTGCTGTCCAAGCATCTCATCCTCTGCTGCCCTCTTCTCCTTTCACCTTCAATCTTTCCCAACGTCAAGGTCTTTTCCAGTGAGTCAGCTGTTCACATCAGGTGGCCAAAGTATTGGAGCTTCAGCCTGAGCATCAATCCTTCCGATGAATATTCAGGGTTGATTTCCCAAGAGTCTTCTCCAGTACCACAATTCGAAAGCATCAGTTCTTCAGCATTCAGCCTTCTTTATGGTCCACTGACCTTAACTTAATGCCATTTAAAGAAGTAAAGAGTTAGGGCCTGGTGTCCCAACTCAGGGCACCCACAGGGTGCACACTGTCAGTTCCATGTGCCATGATATTCACCTGCTGTTTTACACATGCCGACATATGCACAGCTTCTCAGACAGATGAAGTGACCCCAGACACAAGGACAGTGACGCACATGTGCTTGACAAACTACAGAATACACTGGGTGCACTGATGCCAGCACAGAGGGAGCTGTTGCCTGCTCACATGGGTGGGTGTCTTAGCT